CTCATATATATATGTGCATAGAGGACAAATTGTCAATAAATGTTTTCCAATTATAAAACACTCAATTAGATCTAAACTGTGTCCGGCAGCCCCTTCAAGTTCCTAAATATACATATATTCATACATACATATGTCCACCAAACATATCTACATACCTCAAAGTTTGTAGCGTCTCAAGCAAACGAACACATTCAAAAAAATAGTTGAAGAATGCGAAAGCAACGAAACAACGAATCGAGAAATTAGGTCAAATTTCGCAAAAAGAACAAAGTGAAAAGTTCCGAATTCACAATTAAAAGCCGATTGCTCATGGTCACAGCCTAAAAGCATAGAAACATATAAAAAATGACACAGGCCAGCCAATATTCGCGTGAGTGTTCTTCTAATTCGTATTTATTTATGTAATTTTTACAAGTGAGCTGTGCCATCTTTTGAAAAGTTCAATGGGCTCTTTCGAACTTTTCTCTAAAGAGCAAAGGAAAGTGTTCAATGTTCTTGAAAATATCATAACTACATTATTGGCCACTCTGAAGGCTTTATGACGGATATTTTGTAGAAAAAAGTTCAAAAAAGTGAGTCCTAGAGCTTCACGTGACCCATACCCTTACAAGGCCGCATGTATCATGCATGCATCGATACAGAACTGTCCTTTTTACATGTGGGACTGCCCTTTTGCGTGTATGTGATTGTATGCACTAAATCATCACTCTACTCTTTGTTTGCAAGTTCTCCAGTGACCTAGATATTTTCATTTTCGAAAATTGCATGATTTCTATTGACTAGACCGACTCGTCAGGCCGAAAATCAATTGTCACAATCTTCAAAACATAGGCATGTGTATGTATATATGTATGTATGTATGCTCACTATTAGTTGCCTTGCAAAAATTTGCCAGCTCAACCAACCATTTGCGTTTAATGTGCACGTGTGGCTGCGTTGTGTGTGTTTGTGTGCGTGTGCAAATGGAATTGTCAATGACCTTTGTGAATGTTGCTTTGTTTCCCATTAAAATTTGTTGATATAAGTATTTATTGTTATTGTTATTTGTTTGGTCTAATGAAATTTCACTCCACACATTTGCTCAAAATTCTTGCATTTATTCATATTATGTATTATACATATGTCTGTCTGTTTGTAGTATATGATATGTATTTTTATATTTTGCTTTATCATTTCATTCTACGCTTAAACACGCAGTCACACACATGCACTCGAACAAGCGTCGTCTCCCCCTACGCTGTGTACTTTTATGTGCGCATGTGTGTGGCAACTTTTGGGCACTGACTTACGGTTCTAGCAGATAGCCATTGCTGATCCCTAGCTGTGCTTTGACACTTTTTCGCTTTAGCGCCTTCCCTTCGATTCGCCCATTTAATATCGGTCAATGTATTCCACAAAAACAAAAGCAAACGAGATAAGAATTTCAAGCGCTTTGCTTATGCTGCCCTTCTGCGAATTGTTAGACCGTTTGATCGCCCAAAACGTAAAGTTAAATGCACGCCACGCACACACACACACACACATCCACAGACGCACTCACTGACACAAATGCCGCGGCCAACGGCATAAGAGTATTGCCCAACTTTCACGTAATTTCTGCGATTTTGCTAATGTGAATAACCTCTTGCGAAAGCAGGTATAAACCAACAAAAATAGAAAACAAACAGAAAAACACAATGAAAGCAAACACAAAACCAAATCAAATCAAATCAAACCAAATCAAAAAAGTGCTTTGGATTAAGGTAGTCAAAATTTCGAATATTACTAAGGCACATACACACACAGTCACAAGTCGTAACGGACGAGGAAACGCAAAGACATACATATTTACCGCATTTTTTGCGCTTTTCACTCACATTTATAAGTAGAAAGATTAAACACTTCATTAATTTATAGTAAACCAGCAACAACTAACACAACACATACCTGCATACGTGTGTGCATGAAAGCGTGAGCGATTACAAGTGTCTTCCCGTAGCCAAACTTAACAATCCCACTTTCGCTTTGAACTACGTTCCGTTCGTTTCGCTGTGGTTGCTTCGAAAGCATTACTTACATACAAACATGCATACATACATATGTACAATATGTGTAAGCTTCCTTGCTTAACGTACGTGTTATAGCACTAAAGCACATAAATTCCTCTTTTACTTTTAATTTATTTTCGAATTCTTCTATGATCATGGGTGTATCTCTTTCCCACAAATCTGCACAAGAATTGGGTCAGTCGAATTTCTGTATGAGATCATCAAAGGCAAATCCAAACGCACATTCACACGCACAAGTACTGGTTCATAAAGGTGTTCAAGTGATGAAGGCAAATACTACGCGACAATTCTGGGCTTAAGCGCTACGATATGTTGAATAGTTGAACTTAAAAAGGCGCAGAACCGATATTTCATCCTAATTTGTATGTACATACACACGTATGTAGATATCAAGCCACTGGCCTGGCTTGAGGCAAGGTTCATCGGGAACCCCATGAACTAAGTTTCTTCTGCAATTGGCTTTTCATGTCTTCGTAAGACGGCATTAGGCCAGTGAAGCGCTCTTAGCGAGAGTCTGCGCTTTTTGCGGTTGCTTTCAATTTTCAAATGAAAGTACTAAATGGAGTAGGTTTATGACTTGGCTGTCGTGCATGCTCGCACGTACACCGAATCGTTGCTAAGCACATACACGCATGCGTATGTATATACATATGTAGTCAATCGGCCAATCAATCGGTGCAGCATTGACTGTTGCACATTACGTAAGGATTATCCGGATTTTTCTGCTACACTTCAATACAGAAAGTGGAGAAAATGCCGCAAAATAGCATTGAACCAGAACTCGAGAATTCTTCACGCATTTATAGCCCAAACGCTTCATTGCCAACACAGCTAAGCCGAGAGGGATAACTGGTGTTTTTAAAGTAAGACCCAATCCACGTACGTCATTTTCCAGACTCGCAGATTAATTCAGGTCTATGCGGCAGAACTCTTCTTTTTTGCCATTCTGACCAATGTTATTATAAATTCTGCTGTTTCCTTTAACTTAACTTGCTTTCGCTGGTCCAGCTTTCGTCAATCATCTGCGCATCTGCAGTATCAGAAAATGTGTGTCATGTAAACACATACATATGTAAATAAATACGTGTGTATGTATCATCGTTCTCATGTATTAATTCGGTTAAGTACTTGATTTACAAGAAGTCAACGAACCTGAGGGCAGAATATCCCAAGTCTTGTGGTCGAAAAAGAAAATATATACGAATCCGAAGGAAACATATTTAAAAATGTTAATTTCAACAGACATTGTGTGAATGTATTAATGAAATTAAATCGGCGCAGCAGTGACTGTCGAATTAACAACAGCAACAACAGCAACAGCTAAAGGAGCAAACACAGTATCACGAATGGCGACAACAAAAGACACAGTAAAGTTAAACGCACACAAACATACACATACATGTACATGCATGCGTACATGCCTACAAAACGCTCAATGCTGGCGATAATAATAACAATAACAAATATGTATTTATAAAAATAATATTAGCAGCATCAACAACAACCACTTAACAAAAAGTGAACAGCAACAACAAAATAAAATTTAATTATTTACATACTTATATGTGTTTGCATCTATGTATGTACATATGTATATATATTCGTACATACACATGCGTATGTATGTATACACACAAGCTCTATATATCTACATCTGGGCACGTCTCATTGCAAATGCGTAGATCGTATGTATGTATATGCATCATATTTGTATGTGCGGTTGTTATGTGAATGCACTGGCGCTGTAATCAGACCAAGATCAGAAAAACTAAAATAATATGACAGTGGCACCGGTTTATTAACGCAGCTGACCGGCACGATCGCCATGCATGTACATATGTCTGCATGTATGAATGCAAGTCCTGACTAAGGCGTCAGTTTGTCAAAATGCGCCCGAATAGCCGCACAAACAAAAATAAACATACAAACGCACATGCTTACATACACATACATATATGTATGTACATGTACTATATGCAAATGTGCACACAAAAGATAATAAACGGCATATATATATATGTGTGTGTGTGTGTATGTATGTGTATAGAAAGCACGTACAAATGAAAAGAATCTGCTGGCTATCTTACTTTCTGGTCAGAACCGATTTTCTTATATACATTTATTTATGTAAATGTTCAGTTGTTGTCGCTGTTCTTCGCTGCAACTTCTTCTGCCGCCGTTGTCATTAGAGAGAAATCATTCACCCATTTATACTACATACATATGTACATATATGTATGTGCATAGAGGCAAAAATTGACTTTATTAAACGTAGTATATATTCCATATAAACAATCGAGTACACAATACTTTCATGTGTATGTATCCATGCAAGAGATTAAGAATTACAGATAAATACAAGGATGACAGCTAGAAAATCAAAAATATGTTAATTGAAATTATCTCGAAACAAAAGTAATTAAACGAGGGCAATGAACCGTCTGTTCGAATGTGTGTGTGTGTGTGTGTGTCGCACGGCAGTATTGTCATGGGATTTGGCTTTGGCCATGGCGTTATCGTCATGCCGACGTCAGTGTAGGGGACAATAAAGCAACAACAATTTGACATACATATAAGTTTTAAGGATGAACTTCAAGGAAAAAATCCCGTTAAGTACGATACTTATTTGCGTACAACCATTGGCTGCCCGCGCAGCATCTCTACCAATTGAGGTGTTCATTAGAGCATTAATAATTATAACCACCGTTATAACTGTTATCAATTGAAATCTTTGCCATTGTCCGTGCAACACGACGGAAGTAAATAAAAGTGTGAATAATCATTTTACGAGTATATACCTATGTATGTATTTAGTATATATGAATATGTATTTCCCTAGCTTTTACACTTACATATATGCGTACAGACATTTGTATATAATTTTGGAATACCTTTTAGCATTGTTTTTGCAATGTGTTTCAATATGATTTCTGTTCTTCTTTATAATTGCAGCAGCGATCAAACGATGTCTACATTTCCTTTCATATCCGATGCGGAGCCGCACCACCGCACGCTACAGTTGTCATTCCAGAATATAAACGTACTCCACAACGAACGCCAGATTCTCTCCGATGTGAGTGGCTCAGTAAGGTAACAACTGAACTACAAACATACTGCCACATTTTATCTATATACACAGAATAATCTTCATGTTTTTTGTTTTCTTCGTATTTTCTATTTTTATATTTCCACATTCCGCTATCGCATCATTCTTCGTTGTCCATACGCATATACGATATCTATTCGACGATATGACTGCAATTTGCATTGGGCTTATGCTTTTGCTTTCCTGGTTGTTGTGCATTTGTGCTGGCGCCTTAACACGGTGCAGGCCCGGTGAGGTTTTAGCCGTAATGGGCCCATCTGGCAGTGGGAAGACCACATTGCTCGACTGCCTCAGCGGGCAGCGTCGCTTCGATAGTGGCGGTGTTTACCTTAATCGCGAGCCGCTCTCGAAAAAGTGGCGCCGCAAGATCTGTTATGTGCTGCAAGAGGAGATATTTTTCTCTGGGCTGACCCTTAGAGAGACCGTTACGTACACGGCATTGTTACGGCTGCCAGAGAAAATGCCAAAGTCGGAGAAAATTCAATTGGTGGATCGTATACTGGAGGCGCTGGAACTAACATTTTGTCAACACACGAAATTTGGCGATTACCTGAATCGTGGACTGTCGGGTGGTGAAAAGAAACGCGCCAATATCGCATGCGAGTTGTTAACCAACCCGTTGTTGATGTTATTAGATGTGAGTATCAAATACACGTAAAGACAATGGGAGAAAAACCAAAACAAACTCAAATAACAAATGGAGAGCAGCTAAATATCAACACCAATATACGCTGTCACTCTCTGAGAGAAGCAAAGGTGCAAGTGTGTAGCCGCGATTTAAGAGCACTATCATTTGTTGTTCGATACACTCTTAATTTGTAGATATATTTTTACATATGTAAATGTTGATTTTAATATGGATCTATGTTTATTGCAGGAGCCAACATCCGGCCTTGACAGTCATTCCGCCATATCGCTCATGAATTTTCTTAAGCGCTACGCGGTGCAAGAGCAGAAGACTGTGGTGATCACCGTTCATCAGCCGTCTTCGCAAATGTTCCACATGTTCGATAAGCTGCTGCTGCTCTATAGCGGTCGCACTGCATACTTTGGTGAGGTGAATAATATTTACACGTATTTCGAAAGTATCGGAGTTGCCATCAAGCCACACTACAATCCTGCGGATTTCGTATGTAAGTGATAACTGGAGTCCCAGTGCTGATGAAATGTCGTATGCTCATACATTAACATTATATATTCATAATTTCTCTCCTTGTCAGTGGAACAGCTCAAGTCGTACCCGAAAATCCGCGAAAAGCTTTTCATAGCCGCCAAAGAATCACATGGCAACTACTTGAATAGAAACTGCATTACGGTGAATACGAACAATCAACGCAACCAGCAGCACCACTCCAACAACACCAACAACCATCAGTTGCACATACGACGTAATGGTGATACTGCGGACACAATGTCCCACATTTCAACCAACACCACTACCAACAGCCCTTCTACCACCACCGAAATTGTCCACGAGAAACCGCTCAAGCACGATGCACTCATCAATGATATCATCAACAACTACTACAAAGACATACGCAACAATCACACAAACCATATCAATCATGATGCCATGCTGATCATAAATGATCACCAGAACTCTAATGAGGAGGCGTCGCAGCAGCTATGGTATGGCCACGATTCCCAATCAAATTCGAGCGCCACGTCGAGTGATTGCCAGCGTTACGAGAGCTGCGGCGACACCGACTGGCTTGATTATCCGACGAGTTTTCACACGCAATTCTGTGTGTTGTCTAGTAGAAATTTCAAGGAGGCCAAACCGCGTATGTTATCCAAGTTGAATTGGTTCCAAACGATCGGCTTGGCACTGATGGCTGGTTCAATTTGGTTTCAAATACCCCGTACCGAGGAGTTCCTACATGATTTGCAAGGCTGGATGTTCTTCTCGCAGACCTACTGGATGCTGTTTGCGCTTTTTGGCGCTTTAAATTCATGTAGGTGGCTGAAAGCGCCTTTTTTGTGTATAACCGTAACTGGATTTTATAATTTCGCTTTTATTACAGTCCCTGCCGAGCGCGAAGTTATCAGCAAAGAGCGTCGTTCGGGCGCCTACAGGCTTTCTGCCTATTACTTGGCGAAAATGTTTGGCGAACTGCCATTGGTGGTGACGTTGCCGACTGTTTACCTCATGATATCCTATCCGATGCTAGGTTGTACCAGGTGAGTGCCATTTCACCAGAAACCACACTAGTTTTCATAGTAGAAAAAGGAACAGTGGACCACTTTCAACGATTATACATATATTATCATAAAAATTCGCTACATTGCAGCTTTAAACTCTTCTCCTTGATGTTGGTCTTTTTGCTGCTCAATACAATTGTGGCGCAAAGTGTGGGCTTCTTTATCGGCGCCTGTTGCATGGATATGAATGTCAGCATCACATTGAGCGCACTCTACACCCTGGCGACACAACTATTCGGCGGTTATTTGTCGACACGCATACCCGAGGGGCTCAGCTGGATCCGCTACACCTCAATGATACACTACGCATATCAGAATATGCAGATTTTGGAGTTTCGCGAAGGACCAGCGATAAGGTAAGCAAACGCTTAAAATTACCCATTTCTGCAAATTGAAAATCATTCGTTTTTCCTTTAATTCTTCCTAGTTGTGGCAACCCTAGTAGCTTTGAATTCTGTAAAACTGATAGCACAACGACGACATTCATTCCATACGAGGAGATACTCAAGGCACAAAACTCAACCTCACCGCTTTGGCTCAACACGCTTGTTTTAATGATGTTCTTTGTGGTATTCCGCTGCCTCGGCTACGCAGTGCTCCGCTACGTCCGCTGCCCCAAGACGTGATATTCGAGCGTCCAGTGAGCTTAACGAATAAAAGCAACTAAAATTCACAAAAATGTATGTAATACGAACCCTAATAGAATTTCGGCAAGTCGATATGTCTGCATGAGTGTGTAGTTATTGGACACACTTGGAAACTGTTTCGGCGACACTCGTTGGTGATGCGATTTCATTTCCCGTTGAACACAATTTTATTTTAAAAATGCTCGTTTTAGTTTCGTGCTCAGAAATACGGTGTTTAAAAATCGGCTAACAAGCTTCGTCGCCATCCGAGAGACACCTACGTTCATACATACATATGTATGTACAGAACTATTTTTTAAGTTTACACATATTTTCATTTTTAAGAAACCTTGTTTTTAATATATCTAAAGTATGTATGTGTGTGCATATTTTATGTCAACACTATTTTAATGAAAATTTTATGTGGTTAAACTTGAAAGCATCGCATTGTTACGCAGTAAATCACAAATGAAGGATGCAGCAACAACAAAGCAGCGAAGTTTCGTTATCCAACAACTAGTTACATACATATGTATATATGTACATATCTATATATATTGTATATGCTTTTATTCGCAGTCCTGACACTATGAAATTCGAAAGTGGTCGGCTGCATGTATTACCGTTACCTACAATATGAGTAGAGGTTGCGAGAGCACTATTCAATTGTTGCTTATAAATATTAGTTATCGCAAAGCGCTCCATTAACCGCTACATAACCTACAAATGTAGCATATACACAAGTAATAGGATTTTTTAGTTTGTCTGTTTATTTTTTCTTATTTTCTTATTTTTTGTGTGTTGAAAATTACTGTGATGTAGTATTCTAGTTTTATGATTACATTTATAAATGCACGCCAATAACAAATACAAAAATATAAATAAATAAGTAAATAAATTACTTATTAAGTTAGTAGTAATGCAGGATAAACATACATATATAATATAACAATAGTAAAAATACAAATACAATCAAACGAATTCCCTTACATTATACAACAAATATTATACTTATGTGTGGTATAAATATAGAATTATGTATGTATATAAATAATTATCGCTATAAAATATTGTGAATGCTATGTTGCGAAACTTTGTATTATATGAATATATTTAAAACAAAAACCAAAAAAAAAAAAAACAATTAATAACAAAATATTGCATTTTATTTCTTGGAGTTGGGAAAAAAACATTGGTTTCTCGCCGAAATTTCCATAGAACCAGTAGAAATCCTGCCATTACCCAGCTGGCTTGTGACCATTACCGCCTTACTTTGGAAACTTCTATTGTCAAAATTCTTCGAATTCACTAGGAGAAGCAGTTGAGTTGCAGCAATGACCTCTTTGGTGCATCTTAAGGGTTACGATCGAGTTCAAGTATGGATTGAGCCAGTACCTCAGCGTGTTAATGTTGCCTGTATCAAACTTAGGAACCTTTCAGAAGTTGTGGCCTTACCTAACCGGTGCAAACTTGATGCACTAACTTCATATGTGCAGCGGTAGTTGACTTATGTATATATCACAGAAAACTCATATCAAGTCAATGACAAATCAAATCAAACATAATAATGATGTATAGATATCGTTTCCTTGGAGGCTCCCGAACATTTGTCCAATTAATTCTTCTTTTCCAACTTAACAAAAACAATAACGAGTTTATACCATCAAGGGCTTAGTCAAACCCCAGTCTATTATCGTATATTGAAATATATACATTGTATGACAAAAACAAATAATCTCCCAATTTACACTAGTTTATATCGCAGTCCATTTGAGTGACATTTCTATAATGCCTTAGATAAATATGGTCTCAAATACTTGACAAACCACGCCCACATATAATTTTGTTCAAATAACAACAACTTAGGAACATCAATTAATAACAAATAAACAATACTACTACTGTAGCGTTACTCTTCCTCATCGCATTAATACTATAAACTCTCCAGGATTTCCTCGATGGTTTTGCCTTTGGTTTCGGGTATAAACAGATAGACGCATATGATGCCAACAATGCTTATACCGGCAAATACAAAGACCATACCGTGCATTCCCATCACTTCGATCATTAACGGTAAACACTAAAAATATATAAATATTGTAGATATGATGGAGTATGTATGTATGCGTATGAAAGTTTATTCGCAAAATGTACCTTTAGTACAATTAAAGTGGTAATCCACAGCTGAATCATGCAGATCATGGAGCCAATGCTGCGCAGTTTCGGTGGCATTATTTCCGCTATAATCAAGTAGGGTAGCCCTAACAAGCCCAAGCTCGATATGAATATTGTAAATGAGAAGCTAAAGGTTGACAACCAAGAGAACCCACGAACATCATAGCCGAGCACATTGAGATAAGAGTACACACCGAATATAATGTGACCCAAGGCAACGCCAGTGGTTGAAATTAGCATTAAAGACTGTATATATAGAAATGTGATTAACTTAACCAGCACTTAACTGAATATGTATAGCTGTATCAAGTTTAAGATATTCAATATTTTATCGACTTTCCAACCGATTAATTTTTGAAATTTTTACTCACCTTCCTACCAGCGCGTTCCACCAAAAGCGTTGACATATAGGAACCGATCCATTGAAGTCCGCCTACGATTATTGCAGACAATGTGGGCGAAAGACTTGAGCCAGACTCTTTAAAAATGTTGGCAGCATAGTTAAGCATAGCAAAACAACCAGAAAATGACATCAGAGTCATAATGCCGATACCAATCAAGAATGCTTTACGTGTTGTTGGATTATCTATATTTGAATGACCCGAGGAACTTTCAGAAATTATGTAATTCAGAGGGAAATTCTGCAGTACTTACTTATATCTTTCCAGGTTATCGAATTATTTTCGCCGTTGTCGTCGCTCTGTTTAACATCTGCCTTCAGTTTTTCAAACTCAAATTTGAAGTCTTCGGGCCACTCGTGTGACAGTGCTCGTATATTACGAAAGTATTTCAATGATTTCTCAGCTTTCTGGAATTTAACAAATTTATATTAAGATTATGAAAGAAGCACTTTTTTATCATTTGCTATATGTATATACATTATAGGATCTGAGTATTTAAACTAAACCAAACGTGCTATCGAATTTGAACTTTCCAACTTAATGCTTTTTGCGAGGGTAACCTCTTTATGGGATTATTTTTAAACTTCTTCAACCATCTTGAAGTACATTAGAATCTTCCGCAATACCGAACATGGGTAACTTACCTTGATTTTATTTTTATTTAAAAGGTGTTGAGGAGTTTCTTTCAAAAAAGGAAAGCATAGCAGAAACACAACGCTCAGCGATGAAAGGATCCAAGCCACCTTATCATAGGTAAAAAAGTTGCCCAAAACGAATGCACAGAGTATGCCGAAGTTAAATGTTAACACAAGCACTGTCCCCAAAATACCGCGAACACTGTTTGGATAAATATTAAAATTGCCATAAAAACAGGAAGCTTCATACTCACTGATCCTGCGCCAATTCGGCAGTATAGATGGGTAGAACAGTAAATATGCCACCTCCAGCAAAACCACCGAAGACACGTGCAATGCAAAGATGAGTTGGTGTGGTAGCAAAGGGTATAATCCACCAACCGATCTAGGTAAATTTAAATATTATATTAAAAAAATACATACAAGCTAGCTACAACAAATACTACGGAATGATTATTAAGTAATTTCAAACAAGATGTATTTGGAGTAGTTGGTAGTAGTGGGTTCTGCCATTATGAATTGCTTACGTATTTACTTACCAATGAGGGTAGCGCCACCAACAGCATGCACTTTTTGCGCCCATAGCTATCGGCAAACCAGGAGTAAAATATCGTACCTAGAACACCTCCGACGCAAATTATTGAACCCACCCAACCAACGTCCGAACTCGACATAGGCCCAGTCTCGAGCGGACTATCCTTGGATTGCAGTTCCAAGAAGCTGGCAGATGGCCAGCCACTGAACCCGCCATATGATATCGTCATAATATTTGCTGTTGAAAAGGAGAATCCGTGTAGAGAAGTGAAATTACGGCATTTGGAGAGAGAAAGAGCGCAAACATAAAATAGTGAAAGTCATATAGATTATATATTACATAAATAACTTATTCGGCGAAACCCATTTAAGTTACGATGTTGGTAAAATGAATACGTATGATTCATTAAAGCTGAAAATAAATGTATGAGCCTCTCAAAGGTCATCATAGGCTGATCAAAAAGCTATTTTAGATTTCACGAGATTATTCCAAGAAATCTTAAAGATTTATGACATAATATTATATATGTTTAAAAAAATTGAAATTGTATAAAAAATCAATGCAAAAAATGTATTAAGTTGTCACACTAGGACACCCTGTGTGTTTGTGTTGGTGTTATATTATTATACCATTTAAATTTGAGTCTGGTCTATAATAGTTTTGTTGCCATCGATCTTTTATGATTTTGGATATAGGTATTTCTGCTGACAATTCATGAAACTATAAACGATTTGGTAAGATTTTCTCGCGTTAAAATATTATTTTCATTTTACATTGCAAAAAGCACCAGATATTTGAAGTGCACAGTTTTATTCCAAAGTTAGAATTTGCGTCGTTGTAAAACATCAGAAAATCTATCTTCCCTCCCCCGTGTCCCTCACGTGCTCACTCGCAACGCCACCAAGTACAGAGCAGTGAGTTTACACATCTTTAGACGAAAGCCCTCAACGAAGGCACTTAGTGTGTAGTATGGATTATGATGACTATCGGTACCAAATCAAAGGTGTTTGAGTATCACTTATGGACTTTTTACTAGTTTCGTTACTTATCTACCACTCATGGTAATGTGCCATACGCCTTTCAATCTTTCACAGCACTGACATTCCCCCGATTCGTGGGTATTGCCGATCAATCTGAACTACTACTACTACTTGCAAATATTGAATGCAGAGTGTATACAGTTGCGAATAACCTTGACCGCAACACTGAGACCACTTTGGAAACAAATTTTTAAATTCTTAAATTTTAAGAATTGACTAGCGTGTGCTTAAAAACCGGTTTCACTGCATTATTTAGAATATTAACATAACATATATGCGACATGCTCAATTAATTGTAGAAGTGGATCTAAAAATCAAAACACCAAATAAATATTATTAATATATAAATTAATACATTAATTACGTCAGAGAGCAGGCATAAAGCCGCATGGAATTTTTGATGAAATTTGTCGAAAGCGAAGGAAGGCAACAACAATACGATCGCACGCACCATACTAACCACTTATTCCAGCCAAGTACTGGTATTTCGATTGATTTCCTTCCGTCATCGTTCGGCACCGAGTTACTTTCTTCTTACTTGCCCAATAAAGATCGAAGCAAAATTCAAAATTGTTCACTGCTTTCAACGCTATTCCACAACTCGCTGAGTTTTAGCAGGAATTTCAAATTTCAGTGCTCAGCTAAGAGTTTGCTTCATTTCTCGTTTTCGTTCAGTTAACTTATTCTTACTGTGCGTTTGCAAAATTTGCTTATATATTTCTAATGTGCTACCATCTGCACTCAGCGAGCTGTCAGCTAACTGTGCGGTGCTGTCTTTAGACGTAGCTCCAATTTACGGTCTAATTTTCATACCACCTATGATCAGTTGAAGTCGGTGATATGAAAAAGATTAACTAAGAATGAAAGTTGCTGTATATGTTTGTCTATGTACTTAAGCTCGCAGCAATACACTTGTACACCTATTCACCTGTGATATCGCTCTTATTGCAACCCATGCAAAATTAAACGTTCGTCTAAAGCCATCACTTATGATATACTACAGTTAATGAGCAGCTAACAACTTCCTAAGATAGTGTGAATCCTCATAAACTACCGCAGTATCTAACCGATAGCTAAACGATTCAAATAATTATGACCTTAACGACTTAACGACCATAAATAGTGAGACGCCGAAACGAATAGATGCACTCTATAAAACTTATCACGAATTTACCATTGCCTAATGAAGAAATTAAGTTGCTATAGCTTGGTTTTTGTTATCATTTTTCGCTTTCGTTGTTTGGGGGTTTGTTGAATAATAATCGAATATAAGGCTGATTCACATACAACTTTGGCTTCGCTTTTCTTCAGACTTTTGCTCCTCATCTTTCCTTAAGATTATCTCGGTGCAATGTTTGATGGAATATTCTGCTTATAGACTTCGAAGTGAAGTCATACTACCACAGAAAGGTATAAGGACTTATATTTATATGCATGCATCTGCTCATAGAAGTATAATGCGAATTTGACCTTTTGTACGCCAATCACGCGAGTTGTCAGAATGTTTTTTTTTGTGTTAAGAATTTGCCACAACGACTATGCAACAAGTAAACCAGTGTGAACGAAAAAACAATGCTCTTTTCGGCCAAGTTTTTAAAATAAAATGGTTTGCTTTACCGTCAACCCTCCTTCTCCAAATCACCTGAATAAAACTACTTTGAACTTCTTTCTATTTATTTAACGAACATATTTTTATTAGAATTTTAAGCCTGTCCGCCAAAGAGATTGTTTCTTTAAAATGTTTACACAGAATTTTTATTTTTTCTTAAAAAAATATATGCACACATAGATTTACATAGTATGTATTTCTAACATACAAACATTTCTTGGATTATGATTGGTATAAGTACCTTAGTAACGCGCTAAATGGATTTGTCCACGTTGTGGCACGTTGTTTTTCGAAATCCCCGCCTCACGCTCGAGCCCCCACTTATTTTGTACTTCTTCGAGTGATTTTCCTAGCGTCTCCGGCAGCGCGAATAGAGCTAAGAGCGCAACGCTGACACAACCAACACCAAAGATGATGAAAAATCCATTGAGTCCGATTGTCGATTCAAAAGACTGGAAATACTTTTCGAATGGAAATACATGTCATTACAATGTAACTAATCAACCGTTCACAATAGCTGTTGTAACTAACCTGTATCAAAATAAAAGTCATTAGCCATGAGATGCCCCAAGAAACACTCGTTAAGGTAATGCGCAACTGCAAAAGAAAAATAACGATGAATGGACGATTTGAAAAAATAGGTCTTCGCTTCGATAATTCAGAACTACTATACTCCATTGAAGAAACCGTATTCTAAAACAAAGGAGCCGAAAAAGTGTATTCCGAACCCTCGTTCTATCAAAACTCTTCGTTTTTACAAACCTTCGTGGCCAGCATTTCACGAGGGAGCAGGAATATTAACGGGTATAAGCCCAAGCTAGCAAAAAACACATGAAGCAGCAACAACACGGAGGCGACCCATCGCAATTGTTCCTTCACTTCTAACGCTATGCAAACTGCCAAACAAATCGACGCAAAGCCACAGATCAATGCCGAAATAAATAAGAGAATCTGAAAAGATAGCCCATTAGCTCTCAGATTCTCAGCATTATTAACGAAAGTCTTACTCTTCTCCTCGTTATTGGTGCGAGCCACACGCTCATTGTAGCTGCCACAAACTGTACGAGAGCGAAAATCGAAGCACTTACGTCCGTGGGAAACTGAACGAAAACGTCATCTATAAATATCAGATCCGACCAGGCTAGTATCACGTAGATACCACTCAAATGCACACCCACAAACAACACCAGCGTACAGAGCGTGGCCTTACACAAATACGCACGAGACACGTGCTCTTGTGCTATGAAATGATTCTCCATGTTGCTCTTGAAATCTTCCAATTCACGTAAGAACTCAGGTCGGTCGCGATCGTCAATACTGCGCACACCCCGAAACCAGCGCAAAGACTTCTCCAGCCTGGTCACATCACCCTTTCGCATGTAGAAGTACGGGCTCTCCTGACTAAACGGGAACATAATGGTGAAGGCACAGGAAATACAAACAGCCACCACCGCCACATAATCGTATTGCAAATGCTGGCCAAGCAGAAAACCGAAAAGTGTGCCCATTGTGCGCCACTGTTCGATAGTTGTAATCAGGGCACCGCTACTGTTATCCTCCGATATCTCCGCTATGAATATAGGTAACGCTGTGAGGGTGGCGCCAGCAGCCATTCCAGCCATAATGCGGGACGAATAGATATGTAAGATGTCAAATGCGAAATGCATACAAAACCAACTGGACTGATATGAAAAAATGAGGAATGTTGTGGGTAGTTTGAGGTCATGCATGAGAAGGCAGCTATGGAAAATTGTAGCTTACGATTTGCAGAAGACCGCTGAGAAGAAGCACCGCTTTGGGTCCAATTTTCCCCACAATGAAACCGCATACGACTGAGCTCAAAGCAGCGCTGGCGAAAATACTACTCATGATCCAAGTTGCTTCAATTTCGTCGGCGACGCGGTTCAAGGGGGTCTGTTCGCCCATGTAGAGTCTAATATGCGCTGGCGTGATGCCTAGCATGATGCCAAAGTTCAAGCATAGTATGTTACCTAAAAGTGCACAAAATGAAACATTCCTTCAATGTAATAGATGTGTTGCGAAGTCCCTCATCTATATTACCGACAGCTGTTGCGATTTTCTGGATCGTGGAACCATTCAAATTCTTTGGCAGACACATCTGCTTATGATTTTTTGCTCTTCACTTCACTCCGCTGTAAAAGCGTATACTAGTGGGATGTAAGCCCTATGATCGTTCGCTCGTACAACCGTTCCAATGCGCTCACGCTTCTCAACTGCTTCCTTAGCGCGTTTAATATCGTTTAACAGTCCGTCCGATTTTATAGTATAGTAGAAAAACTCAAATGAGTCTGTAGCGTTCTGTCATCGGAACACAATTGCCACAATTGCCTTAATTATGAACGTTGCTTTTTCACTTCTTACTTGCTGTCGCCGGCAAGTGATGCCGCAATGCCAACCAAGATTTCGCCAATAGCCAGTAGCTGGCAGAAGCTTCTTAGTGTTTGTTTATGTTTACAAAACGTGTGTACATAATCGTACGCCTGATAACTGCGGATGCTAAGCGATAAGAAGACCAATTCAACTGTCGCCGTGATTCATCGGATGCAAAGATTTTCACACTGGGCCAGAAAATTGTCGTTGATCTAATCATTAATAACACGTATCTGAAGGGGATTGCCATATCCAAAAGTGCTCACATATGTATATAGTGCATACATTTTAAATGTCAAGAGCAACGTAGTCCACTATTTCGTTGAGAGGGTCCACAGTCATAAGCAGGGTCTCCAGTATAATCTACATTAGAAACTGGGGTTATACATAAATTCCTTATCTATTAATTTGAAGGTTATGAATCACTAAATTTAGTGTTGGCGCAAAATTCAATAGATTAGACAGACGATGTCTGCTTTTTCACTTTTGCCAATTCGGAGAACATGTTAAAAGAGACCCAAAGAGCGTGGCCTTGTAACAGACCGAAAACCGGTCGCATCTATTTAGGAGATAGTTCGGCACCGGTGCCATAACTCAAGCATCAAGCCATCAAAAGTAGTATTTGAAAATTTTAAAAATAAGTAGGCCAAGTAGCAATACAGTTAGCCGATTACATGTATGCTCATATGTGCGACCAGAGTGGCTATACATTTATTCTTGAAGCTGTTAATTAAATATTAACCACTTTCTAACACATTGACAATTGAAAGTGTCAGGAGTTTGAAATGAAAACTGGGTGTTGTTCGCTTCCCCCTAAACGTACTGCTATGTGAGCTCATAGTACTACATATATTGTACATACATGCGTATATTTATAGTCTGGCTAAAAAATTGCCATATCAAAAAGTGTCTCCGACGTGTATTTCCATGAGGAATCAAATATTAATAAAAGCAATGTTAGCGATCGTGTGTGTGTGTGCGTTGTAACCAATCGGTGTGCAAAGATGCAATTTTAGAGCAAAGTACTTGCCTATGTTGATTCCGATAATATAAAAAATGGCTTAAATTGGTTTATATTTTGAAAAAATCAAATTACATAATTGTAAAAAAGTCTCTTTATATGTAATATATAATGTGACTTTCAAAAATATATAAATACAAAAGGGTTTTCCAATAAGAATGATATGATTTTTTTTTTGCAAACATTTGTTAATTCATGTTTTTATATTTAATGTTCTTCGATGAGCCCCATTTAGAGTTTTAATTTTAGCAGCTCGCTAGGGGTACGATATATCTCCCATGCGACTTCCATATAACATGCGATTTTCAAACTTCCGGTTGCTTTATGTCGTACAAATCGGGCAAAGAGCTATTGTTATTAAGCTATTTGCAATCTCAATAATTATTGCTCAAAAAAACACGTACAAATTTTCGTAAACAAAATGTTCAATTTTTTGCTCTAAAAGCAGCAGCAGGCCATTTGCAATATATCTCGATAAAATAATTTGCGAAATTTGCATTTTTAGTATATATATTTAAATTTTTACACTTAAAAAACCATATGGCTTCGTTTCCGGTTTGCTCTGAAATTCCTCTGTTTCGGAATTGATGAAAATGTCTCCCAAAAATCGAAAGAAGTCCAAATAGTGGGATAATTTTCAGGTTTGTGTCTTTGGTGCAAAATATCCCCAGAGAACGTAAATGAATAGAGAAGGAGCAAATGTTAAATGAAATCTTTTTGAGTACTAATTTGTAATTCCAGATGAGGGAACATCGAAAAATATAACTTCGAAAAAGAAAAATACACCACACAATGTGCGAAATGCTATAAATCTCTGGCGCAATGTTAGCTGTGCTTTTAAAAGGGAATATCGAAAATGTGCAAATTCGAAAATTCAATTACACCACGTTATAGAATGGGGAAAAATTAAAATTAAATTTAAATAAATTTAATAAAAAAGGTTTATAAAAATAAAAAATAATATCAAAAAATATCTGTAGGATGTGCAAAAATATTTGATGCTACAATAAGGAAGTGTGTAATATGAGCCACAATGTGGTTACATTATTATAACTGAAAGTAGTTGCCTAATGTGTGAACTTAAACCAGAGAACTTAAATGAACTTGTTTTAAGTTCTCTGTTTAAACAGCTATCAGTTTTAAGTTGTTTCAATTTGCCGATTTGTATGTGTATTTGTATTCTCGAAATTGGCTTTCCTTCATTCGCATGCACAAATATATTTTTCAGGATTCGCACATACAAGTAGATGCTCGTATTCGTATTGAGCTCTCCTCAAAAGTATGACCGTGGTCGCTTTAGCCACTATTTTATTCCCACATCCGCGGAGTATTTTCCTATTCGATGTTGTATTTTTCGATGTTCTCTCATGTGAAAACTACAAATGAGTACTCAAAAAGATTTGATTTAACATTTTAGCCTTCTCCACTCTTTAAAATTCACTGCAAAAAACACGGAAGAAACCGTAAAACGGAGAACATGAAGAAAGAAACTGGGCAAACTGTGATCGCCACACTAGCATCAGTGATAGAACTTCTTGTGTGGAATGCCACCATAAAAACAATACAACAAAAACCATAACAAGAAGAAGCAGAGAATGCCGAATTTAATGTTTAATATTCTTTTCATTTATTTCAATTAAATTTTACGTCAATTTAATTATAATATTTATCCATACAATTATTAATAATATTTACATCTTTCCTCATCGCACACAAAACATCTACATTCTTTGAAATTATCTTTTAAATTTCTCAATTTTTTGTTATGCCTTGGTATATTAAATTTTCTTCATTTAAGATTTTAGAACTCGTGTTTACTAATACCTCTATACATAGTGTGTGTGTGGGTTGTTTGTATAATCTTTATGGTGTTTAATAAATTTTTTATATTATATAATTTACAACTTGTAGTAGATACGTATGCACAGAAGTACATAGTACATATATTAATGTACATACATACGCATAAGTTTGTATATATAGTATATTGTTTGTATATCTCTTTGCAGCATTAAAAATCGATTCGAAATTATATAAATTCTATGTATCTATGGTTTAGGATTTAACGACTTTAAAGACGATGGAACTCAGCGAGATTTATTTACATATGTCTATATCTTTTTGTATTCTTGTTTGCTTGTATGTATGTATATCTATGTGCTGGTTCAATGAATTTAGATACTTCCAGGTCCAGAACCAGAACCAGAACCAGTTAAGTGATTGGTTGGTGATTATATTCGTAGGTATTTTACTTTTCAAGTATTTTCTATATATGTTTCTAAACTTTTTAACAATTACACTTATAGTCTGAAATTTTGCTATTTTTATTCATTTAGGGATTAGGGAATATTTCTCTTTCGCATCGGTCATAACTACAATAATTTTTAGATTTATTTTGCTATTACGATTATTATTCAACTCCCATACATACACATGATCGCACTACTGCTTAGGAATCCTAGTCTTATTTATGCGAACGTAATTGTCCGACATTGGTGCACAACAGACATTTGTTGTATGCATAATTGTAACATTTTCGCACTGGAGTTTGTGCAGCTGAATTTTGCCCGCCCTTCCACTCCCGACGTGTCACTCCAGCTACAAGCTGCTAAGGAATGACAGACAGATAACGAAAACTGCTAGAGGCAATAAACAAAAGAAAAACTCAAATCTCTGTGGAACTCTTTAGTAGAAACAAAAACGTTCAGAACTGCATTTGTTTTCAACTAAGAACATGATGAGTAATGAACAATAAATTGAAATTTTGCTAAGTGAATGAAAGCGGATACTGAAATCTAAAATAAATGTCAGTCATTCCGAAGAAAGCTGTGAAAAAGCACTACGCCGCTGTAAAAATATAATATTTTCGAAAGTGGACGCTCGTCAAGTCAAAACCAAAAATTAAACTGTTTAATTTGTTGTATGAAAAAAATAACAGAAAATTTATTGTATTTCCTTGTAGTTTCTTTGTTTATAAAATTAAAGAGAAACTTTTTGCATGTTACAACTTAAAACGTATGTATGTATTGATAATATTGAAACTTATTTAGTTTGTATTTTTAAATTATTTATGCAAGTATGTATATATATATATACATATAGGTGTATATATATGCATTTATATTTGTATATTTATCTTTCTTATGCAATAGGGCGAGTGCAAATTTTTTTCACTTACGCACTTCTGTTCTAATATTCATAAATATGTATGTATATAAATATACATATTCTGATTTTAATATTATACACTAACTTTATTAACTTGTTTTCGCTTCAACAGCTCGGTTCATTCACTACTACTAGATATTACAGTATCCTTCTTATTTCAATTATTTCAATTAATTCATTATTTTTTAACTTTTTTATATTTATTTGACAAACGCAACTTTGGGTGCTTTGCATTTAATGATTTTCATTTGTTCTAACACTATAATAAAAACTAATTTTATGAATAACTGTACATTAATTTAACATACTTATTTATGTGTATTTTATTTAATAGACACTACTACTATTATCTCGTAAATAATTAGTTACATCAACGCTTAATATTACTAATAATTTATATTTATATATGCATATATGTATATATATGTATGTTTGTATATATGTAGATAATTTACATTCTATTTTAATATTTTACAACGTTATTCATTACCAAAGATACAATTAATAAAAGTGGGAAAGGGTAGACATGTTATATTATAGAATCCCGTTAGGATTATCTTATAATTACTTTTATTTACTTATTTCTTTTGTTTTATATATGTACATTTTTTTTTACTTTTTCCTTGTGATAGTTTTCCAATTAGAACAAACAAAAATTGAAATAAAGCTAAAAAGTTGAATAATAAACAAAACGTTTTATGCAAACAAGCTGACAACAATACAAAAAGGGAAGCAAAACAGACGTCGAATCCGGTTGAAAACACACATTGATTTGTAGAAACTACTCCAAAAGCAAGCAAAGCAAAACGCCATTATACATATGTATAAATTTTGGTATATTCATGCTATTGGAGCACTCTCTATGTATTCTTCACAAGGCACAGAAGATTACCTGTTACGGCAAACAAACAAAATTGTGCGCCTTACAAGAGATAATTGTGCATACGAAACGAATGTATTTGTATATCATAAATGGCAGTGATGAAATTAGATAAAGTTAGCGAAATGGGAACTTTTTTTCTTATTTTCTTTTCAGTAACAATTTAAAGGAAAACGAAAGGCTTCACAAGTGAAAATTTAAAAATCATAACTGTGCAAATGAGCGTTAAACCCAAGTAATTCACTGGAACCTTTGGAGATCTACAAAGGAGCTCTATGTAAATTTTAGCTGTTGTATAATTGCGCATTTGCATTTCTTAAACAATATTTATATTATGTATGAATGTATGTAAGACTACAAGTAGCTTTCAGTATTAGTTTTAGTTTCCCTTATGTTTTTCTGTTTTTGGCATTTGAACTTACATTGTAACAAGCATCTAAGGGCATTCTCAGAACCTCATAATTGTTAGTAAATTAATCATAAACATAAACACACATTCGCACATAACAAGATCGTGCATTCCGGATTGAAACTCGCTTAGAAAATGCATATTTCAAGCGTTTACTAATAGCAAACGACGTAGCGAAATTGCATCTCCATTGCGTCAACGTTTTCGGCTAAGCATAACCCAACATATATTTGATGCCCGCTTGAATTCATAAGAGTGTCCTTACAATTGCCTCACTCTACTCTAACTCCTTCTCAATGGGATTTTACACAATCTTATAAACTCAAGCTCATCGATACCGTTTTCTAGTTGGGACTGGAATTTTCAAAAATGGTCGTGTGCTGTATAGCCGTCAGTTTTGTTTCCTTTTTGATTGTTATGCACACATATACATAGACAAGGCATATTGAAGTCATTTCTGTTTTAAATGATTTGCAAACAAAAAATGGGAACAAAAATGGGAATTTCCATATGCTTGTCTGCCAATTATTGTTGTTGGAAATAAAGCATAAAATTAAGATATAAACTTTCCTTTAGTTTGAGATCAAATATATAAATTACGAATTTCATTGATGATATCCATAAAATTAGTTTAATGTTTTACTCTCACTAAAATTATTATAATTACTTCATACTTTTTTCAAATCTGCACTACGAAAACACTAAGGAAATTTTTACCCGTAAAACTATTGCGGTGTCAAAAACAAATAAATGTATGATATATAATTAATTAGACAAAAACTAAAGAGGTATTCACAAAGCTTATAACAATTTGCTTAAAAGCATAAAAATAAAATTTCTATACATTTTTAACAAGTTCATATACTTATAATTTTTTTTGTTGTTTGTTTTGTATTATTTGCGTCTTTTGCTTCATTTTTGTGTGTTTTTTTAGTTGAGTGCACGAATTACGAATACCTCTTTTGGAATATTTGCACGCACTTCCGTAATATTATATGGGGTTTGCTTGCTCTCAATATTTGGTGTGTCAAGTTGGATGCGTTGCTATTGCGCCAGCTTGAGCATTTGTCAGTGGCGTTAGTGAGTAGTGAGTTTTTCATATCGTTTCTTATTGTATGTACAAGATTTTTTGATGCATAAGGACCTGGGAATTATTTCACATTATTCTTCGTATGCTTCTGTTAGAAAACAGTAAATTGTACTCTGCCTTCGCAATCTGAGAATGTATGCATTCAGTTTTCGCGAATCTTCACGGCTGGTAAATCATGTATTTTTTTCGTATTTAATTATTTCTTTTGGTCATATTTAATGTAGAGTGTTTGTGTTTAAAACACAAAGGTAGTATAAGTCAAACGTCTCAGACCTTCTGCGTATGATTCTGTGAGACAAGGTGTGGCGGTTAAACATGCCACTTGTTTTAAGCCAGCTTATGGCTTTCTTGCATGTGAGTGCCCGTTTAGACAGTTGCGATTACTATTAGCAAATGAGCAATCTCTGCTACTCGGTTCTTCAAATCAGGCGCAGCCCGCTCCAAGTTCTCGTTGGCAAAGTCGCATGATGGAAATATATGCACAACATATGCCGCTTGTTCACTGCCCGGTATTGGAATATTCACTATACCCGCAGCCATTTTCTGCTGCAAGTAGGTAATAAAACCCGTTTGCAAGTTTCGCGATTGCTGCAGGACATCGGCGTGATCACGTCCACAAGGTAGAGCCAAAAGCATGCAATGCTCATTTTCGTACTGTAAAATAAGATCGTTTGAGAAGTTAAAGACATTGTAACTTTCGATTACTATTAATATTGTTATTGCTATACTTGTATGCGCGTGTCAATAATTCAACTTACCTGCATTTTTTTGGCCACACCTTCCAGCTGTGTCTGTTCCAGCCGCATGCGCTGAGCTATGCGCAGTGGTGGAGTGCTGCCGTCGCGATTGCAGGGCAGCGATGCGCGCGCCACAAGTGGGTTTCCGAATACGAAATGCATTTGTACAGCAGCCTGATCTGTCTTCAGTGCTAGAAGTCCTTGCCACATGACTGGATAGCGTTGCAGCAACGTGAGTAGCGAGTCGGCCGCTGGTGGCTGTGCCACAGGGGGATTGGCGTGAGGCGGCGTCGCCACTTGCATATTTCTCGCTTGCACAGTGGCCTGCTGTCCAGCTGGTAAGTTATCTATGTTAGAGTCTAGTGTTAAATATATTTTAATTATGTATTCTTATAAAAGAGTGTGATTATTATAAAGCTCTTACTTGTCATAGCTATGCGTTCCTTTTCACGCTGTGCTTCTCGTTCGCGTTGCTCCCGTTCATGCTCCATCAATTGGGCGGTGTGTAAATGTGCAACTGCTGATGCTGCAGGCGGCACATTCACATTGCTACCTCCCACGTTCGGTGTCGACGTTGACATCTGCGCCGTTGATGCAGCTACGAATGGGCTCGTTGTTCCGGCGCCGGGTGGAGGCACTGCTACTGGCAGTGGTGGACCCACAACACTATGCGCTGCAACTGAACGATGAGCAGGCGGTGGTTCGATGGGCAATTGCCGGCCCGCTTCGTAGAATGATCGCTCGGTGTAATGTGGGTGTGCCAAACGGGTGTTATGTACATACACTTGTGCTACTTGTGGCGAATCTGTTCAAATAGTTTATATGTGTGTCAATTCTGGTGACGAACTTAGGTTAGGCAATTAAACTTACCAGTTGCACGATCTTGAGGACTCTGTAGGCCATGTGGTACAGCAATGGTGCGTGGCACGCTACCTGGTCGGCGCAGCTCCAAGGGCGGGCTTCCACCGAGCATTTTGTCATCAAACTCACCACGTATTGATGCGTTCATTGTTTCCTGCTGATTTCGTAAGATGTGCTGGTAGATGATAAACGAGTCACGTGGTGGTACTCCACGTATTCCACCAACAGGAAAACTAGATTCGCTCTGTTAATCGAAAGTAAAAAAGTCGTTATTTGCGCTCAAAAATATACAAATTTAAGCAATTAAATTTTAAACTCGTAACAGACAGCGTTAAGAAATATAAAAAAGAAGTCCATTTTACCGGAGTTATGGGCGAAGCCTGCTGGTGCGCGGGTGGTGGACTTTTTGTTGCACGCGAACCAGAAGAACTTGTACAATAACTTCCAATGTCGTGCTGCGTCCACCGAAGAAATATGATAAAGAAGGAACTGCGGTTACTACTTAACTATCTACTTAAGTACATATGGTAAAGCTAGGCTTTACGATCAATATTTTACGCGTTTTCACTTACGCATTTATGTAAGTATGAATGTATTTAAAGCGTTAGTGTTGGCTCACAAATTAAACTTAATTATTGTAATTAAATATCGTAAAATTAAAAGGCAATTATGCGGTGGCACTTACCATGTTTGACTCAAATTGCGGCATGGTCATGCCAGTCGGCAAAAGTAGCGGCGTAACACGAGTTTGACTCTGAGGACTTAACGTTGGAATGCTGGTGCGTAAGCTACTAACGCCTACAAACGGAAATTATGGAAAAGTAAATGTAGTATAGCCTTGATTAAAGTGAAGGTCGTCACATGAGGGTGAAAGACCGCTTGTGTGTTAGCAAACAAAAATTTACCTGGTACGTTGGCACTATTGTGCGGATGCTGTTGTTGTTGCGGGGTAGTCTGTTTGAGCGTCGATGGCGGTGGGCTTGTCACACTGCTGGCCAATATTTGCACTCCCTGCGCTTGCAGTGTTTGCATAGCAGTGATAGTGGGTTTAGCGCCACTAACAACCGGAATGGCACCAGCTTGCAATGGCGGTGATGCCGTCAACTGCTGATGGGCTTGCTGTGCTTGCAGATGCGTTGGTGGTTTGGTTTGCAGCAGCATTGTCGGGTGTTGTAGACCGATAATGCCACTTGGTTGCATTACAAGCGGTGATGTTTGTTGTTGTTGTTGTTGAGACTGCATTTTATTGCGACCCTGATGGTGCACTGCTGTCACACCGTGTGGTAACTGAACGTGTGGATTTTGCTGTTGCTGAGTGACCATAGATATACTAACAGGTGGCTGAAGCACAGTTTGTTGCTGTTGCTGTTGTTGTTGTTGCTGCTGTTGTTGTTGTTGGTGATGCTGTTTAATAAGCTGGTGTTGTTGTTGTGGTGTTAGCACAGTTATCTGAGGCTGTTGGTGTTGATGCTGCTGTTGCGACTGTGGCTGTTGGGGTAAGGACGTTGCATACGTTGCTGCATGTTGTGGGGTCTTACCTCCTGGCGTTGCCTGTTGTTGCTGGTGCTGCACTCCTGACGGAACTTCTCCAACTTGCGAACCAACCGGGTCCTTCAAGCTGACAACATGGACTGTTTGTTGGGTCGACAACTGACCTGCATTGGTCGGTTGGCCTTGCTTGATTACGAGTGTCTGCTGTGCCGGTTGTTGAGCGGTTTGTTGTTGTTGCTGATGCTGCAACTGCGGTGAGTTTATATTCGCTGCCACTTGTTGAGAGTTCGTTGGTGGAATATTTACGAGCAACTGTTGCGGCGACGGATGCGGATGCTGCTGCTGCTGCTGCTGCACCGCATGTCGGGTCGTTATTACATTAGATGCAATCGAGTGATTCGAATTGGTTACCAAAATATGTTTCGCCTGCTGTTGATGTATTGACGGTGGCGTTGGTTGCTGTGTCTGCGCAACAATGTGGTGTGACTGTGGCAATTGCTGCTGCTGATGTTGTTGCTGCTGCATTGTTTTCTGGCTGTTAAGTACGTGTGCTTTTAGGGTAGGCGGGCGCACATTTGATGGCTGGGCGTGCATAACGACCGGACTCTGCTGCACAACAATTGACTGTTTGCTGTTAGCCGAAATCGTCGGTTTTATAGTCGTTTGAGGTTGCACAATTTGTTGCTTTATGATAACGGGTGTTGTCGTTGTCTTTACGACCACACTCACAGCAGATTTGTTCAAAAGGGATATGGGAGTAGTCAACTTGGTAGAACCTTCCACTGGCAACGACTTTGTGGAAGCAGTGTGAGAAGCTGTATTGGAAGCAGAAACCGTAACGGTTTGAGCAACCATTTGTGATGTTTGCAAATTGTTTGTATTGCTCGCCGCTTTAGTTAGCAACGCGGCAGTACCGCGAACATCGCTTGATTGCGTAGTGTTCTCGGCCGTGGCTGCCGCAATAGCCGCCTGTACTATTTTCTTCGTGTCCAAAGGCGTTTTATGCATAGTGGCCAATGTTGCTGCTGCTGCGGCTACTGCTGTTGTCCCTGGTAGATTGCCATCTTTGCCATGCTGCAAATTGCCGCCGATTAGTCCCGTTACTGGGTCGACAAGGGCTTTACTTACCATATCGGCGGTTCCACCACTTCTTTTCTGTGTCGTTGGGGCAGATGAGTGACTTGCAGATATGTCGATGCTGGGCAATGACGATGTAGCTGGATTAGTAGTTTTCGAAACACTATTGGCGACAGCGAACGACTCTATCTCTGCTGCGGCGAGCGCTTTCTTTTTCGGGTGCTGCGGCATAACATGATGTAGTTGTTGCTGCATTGGCAGAGACTGCTTCTCACCATGCGTTATGGCCTGTGCAGGAATATGCGTGGATGGAACGGTTTTTGTGGATACTGGTATAGATTGTTGTGATATCGACGCTGTTGTTGCTGTTGGTGGTGCAGCTACAAGAGTTACTTGCAATGGCGCGGAACTGAGTGTATTCGCTGCACTATTCGTGCTGACAGGCAACACTACTTCTTCCTCCAGCTTCGTTGGTGCTGCGATTATCCTTTTATGTTGTTCATCTGTATCACTCGAAGATAGGTCATTCAAGGCGTTGGTGTGTTCAGTGCTCTCTTTCCGATCCTTTGAACGTCGTGGACGGACCATCGCTGGCGATGAGGGTGGTGTTTCCATCCCCGCATCCTTTTTCGAAGCGACGTGCGTTGCGTTGCGTCCAGAGCGTCTGGGCGGAGTTTGTGCGCCTTTCTGCAACAATCCGGCGGTTATGGTATTCCGCACCACATCCTCAATGACGTCGTCAATTGTACAGCGATCTTTCTCTTGTAATCGTCGCGATTTTCTAGTGTTCGCCGCTGTGGTGCTACCTGAATCCATTGAAGTTGCGGATGATGAAGGTATTGCATGTGGTGGCTGCGGATGACCCATTTTCTGTGCTGTTGGTACTGACCCAGACGGGACCATTGTCCCGGTCGTGGTCGTAGTTGCGGGCATGGAAGTCGCTTGGATTACTTCCATAGTGGGCATATCTGGTAACTGAGCTAGTTGCGCAGTTGGCGATGACGTAGGCGCGGTTGCAGATATTTGGCTTTTACATTTGCTGCTCTCCCTTGGCTCAGATTGAACTGTTGGCGTCACGTGAATGGTTGTTTGTTGCTGCTGAAGCGGTGTCGAAATCATTGTTGTGGCAGACACATCATCCGTAACAGTCAAGTTTTGTTTCTCACTAGCTTTTACGGTTGGAGCACTTTGGCCCGGTTTGATAGTTAAAATCAAACGCGGCCTCACATCACTTCCGCTTGGACTACCCACCGAATGTGTGTTATCTTGTGCAACTTTCGTTTCTTCACCAGAATCATCATGGAATTCGTATACATCCGAATCACCAGTCACAGCTGATGAGGTTCTTGTTATTGCTGCAGCGTTTCGTGGCTGAGTAGGCGCCTTCTTACCAGTGCTAGCTGTATCGAATGTTTCGCCAACCAAATGCATCTGGGCTGGTTGTTGCTGTTGCTGTAGCAAAATGTTACGCGGTGGACGTCCTTTCCGTCCACGCATTACTGGCGTTACTGTAGCTGGTTTACGTAATCGCGTCTGTACTCCAGATATCTCATTAGGAGCAGCCACCAACTGAGACGATAAAACTGAAGTGACAGCACCACCAGGATGCTTCTTTCCACCGCGTGGCTGACGACCGCGCTTTGCAGTACCACCACGTGTGCTTACACCTAGTCGACCCAAACCGATAGGTCCTTCAGTCATTACATTTGACTGCTTCGTTTCGGTTTCGTCTTCAGTTTCGTGATCTGTGCCAGAGGTTGCTGAAATGGGATTCACCAAGTCTGAAGAAATTAGATTTGTATGTTCCATCGAAACATTATCTATCATTTTTCCACTTTGACCCAATGTTGGATTACCAGTTTTGGTAACGTCGTCAGCAGCCGATGTTGAACGTATACTACTGTTTACCTCAGTTATATTTACCGCTTGTTGGTTTTTAATTGGCATGGAAGCGGATGGCTTATCGGGCTTCGCATCGACCTCCGTGTGTTGAGGAATGGTGGGCAAACTGTGTACATTTTTATTTTCGGGCACATCAACTTTCTTTATAACCGAGTCTAGGGCTTTTACAGTACCTATAGAGATTGCAGCTTCATCGGCGTTAAGCGCAGGCATCGAACGATCTCGTTTCTGTTGAGTAACTGTGCTGAATGTTGTCTTCTCAGCACTTGCGTTGCCTTCAACGCTACAAATTACAGACACATTCTCCGCCAGCTTCTCTGCTGGCTTCTCATGAGCTACCGCCGAAAAAGGTTTCTGTGCTTGTTTATTCAAATCCATTGTATGTATTGGTTTTGTTGCCGTTGTAGATGCTGGCGGCGATGTTGGTGTTGGAGCTGATGCTGGTGTTTTAATATCAACAACATATGACAACTTTGGTGTATTTGACTGAGACACCGGAGTGTTTGTTGTAGTTACTGCCTGCTTGGCTGTTTCTAAAGAGGCTGGACAAGCAGACGGAGATGAAGGTGGAGCTGATAGCTGCAGATTGCTGGCGTTCTGCGAAATCGCGGGCTGCATTTGAGGAATGTACTGCATTCCAGCAACGCTCATTGGGTTTGTTTGCTGTTGCACGGGCGCAGATGTCGTCACTTGCTCCTGTTTTTGTGCGCTTTGCACAGAGCATTGTATAACATTTTGTGATATATTGCTCACACCTGTTGATCCAGAAATGGCTGGTTGTTGTCCACGTATTATTACCAAATTTTGATGCGTCGGAGTTGATGTGGTATTTGGGGGGCTAACAGCTTGGCGATTCAATGCAATTTGTTGATGTTGTTGATGCGGCTGGTATTGTTGTTGTGCTTGATTTTGTTGTATATTTTGCTGAGTTGGCAGAATTCGTTGGCGCGATTGCTGTTGTTGTTGCTGCACCGTTACCTGTGACGGAATGTGCTTATTTTGTTGTTGTTGCTGTTGATGCTGCAATTTTTGTATTTGTATTATCTGCTGTTGTTGCTGCTGCTGCTGCTGCTGCAATATTTGTTGTTGCATTTGCTGATGGTGTTGTTGACGTTGTTGCTGCTGCTGCTGTTGTATCTGCTGTCTTTGCTGTTGCAACAAGTGTTGCTGTTGCGCATATTTCGGCTGTTGCGGCGGCTGTGATTGTTGTTGTGATTGTGGCTGCTGATGCTGCTGATAATTCGGTGCTTTCGACATTGACTGAATAATTTGCGGCGAATTCCGCTGTTGCTGTGCCTGTTGTGTTTGTATGGTATGTTGTTGTTGTTGCTGTTGTTGAACTGCAGTTGTCTGCTGATGAGTTGCCATATAGGCCCCCTTGGCGCTAGCCTGTCCAGACTGTAATGGCGGCGACATCAACGACTGTTGTGCCTGTTGTGGCTTCACACTCACCACTTTGCTGATGATGGTGGGATGAGCGGGCAATTGTGGCATTTTCTGCACAGTCATTTGTTGCATACCTATAGATTCAATAGCTAGCTTGGCAGATAATTGCGAAGACTGATTACGAGCGTTTGTCACATTCACGTTAATTGGAGTTGGCGACGAACTAGGATTCTTATTACTTCCCACTGCACAACTGCTGTCCATATTCTGCATTTTGTGTGGCGAGTGTACTGTATTGATGATATTGGCATTGCTGCCAACACAGGTAGCTGATTGTTGGGCAGAAATAACAGGACTCCCCGACACATTGGTAGATTGTGAACTTGCGTTGGGCGAATACTGCAGCACATGCGACTGTAGTTGTTGTTGTTGCTGATGCAATGAAGATGAACGTTGTCCGCCAACATGTAACAACAATGGCTGCTGTTGGACTTTTGCTGTTGGCACTGGTGTTGCAATTGTTAGAGCAGTGGGGCTCAGTTGTCGCGTGGGTGTACTACCTCTAGACGTGTTATGTTTCTGTGGACTGAGTGGAGATGGTGAACGCACGTTGATCGTGTAAGTAGGCATAGAGTGACCTGCCATCTGCGTTGATTGCTGTTTCTGTTGTGCTTTAGGTGAGAGAAGAACTTGATGTTCACCCGACGTTGACGGCGTACTACTACCACCATTTCTGGGGGAAATCAATAGATGTGGTATGGCGAAATGGGCTGGCGGTTCCGGAATGCTTATGGTGGGCGGCGTGGTAAGTGCATTCGGCAATGTAGTAACAACGAACGGTCTCTTCTCTTGTTGAACAGATAACGGACTAATATTAGTGGTTGCTGATGATTGTAAAGTCGTGGAAAAAGTTGTTGTTGCAGAAGAAATAGAGCTTGAGCTGGGCTTGTTTTCCGCAAATGAGGTCGTCACAACTGCTCTTGACCTGTCTGGTACCGCGTCGCCGACTGTAGATGTGGATGGCTGTAGACTGATCATAGACGGCAATACAGACTTCACTGGCTGTATAGCTGGTTGGACCAAATTACTTATTGTTGGGGGTTCTAGTTTGGTTGATGGAGCCAAGTTCGCTTTGGCTGCTTTTTCACCAGGTTGAGAACTTGTTTCCAGTTTTGTAATGACTGAGCAGGGTTCATTCTGATCTTCTTGGGCATCTGTACGGAATGAGCTTGTTGTTTTTTCTGAAGAATTAAAAAGAACAATTTCATAGATTAATTGAGGTTTCGTAAAAAGAGATTCATGCCACTTACTTTCTTTATCGGCTAACTCGTCGGATACATCACCGGATGTTGCGGACTCATCAATTTTCAAACTTGCTCCACTACTATCAGCTTCATCTGCGTTCTCCTCCGTATCAGTATCAATTTGAAGACCACGCTCGGATTGCGGTGTGTCAACTTTGACATCCATCTCTTCGGTACTAAGACTTTGTACGGCCTTGTTCACTTCTTCAGCATCTTCTTCTGGTTGCAAAGGTTCAATAGTTGTCTCAATAGCCTTCGCAGCAATAGCGGCTTCTTCATCTGGCTCAGGAGCGTCGACATTGACACTATCAACCACAGCTAAATCATCCTCGAGTGGATCATCTTGGAACGAGTAATCAATATTAGATGAATTACCAAAGCTTTCACCCAATAATGCAGACACAGCACTTTCTGTCTCTTCCTGCGAGATCGTTACTCTTGACTTTGAGTCTTCCGCTTTGTCCATATGTTTTGGGGCAAGGTCAGGAGGGGACTCTATTGGAATTTTCGGTTCATCGGCATTTGAATCTAATATCGAGGAATTAAAATCGACAGATATGGATTTTACAGCCGACTCACTTATCTGTTCATCCAAATTACCGTCAAAACCAGGAATAAATATTTCTGGTTTCTTTTTTGTTGTAGTTGGTGTGCCAATAGTAGGGGCGGCACAGTTTGATTCGATAGATGCAGTCGCTAAACTAGTCATATCCGGCGCATTAGTTGCGGTTGGTGTAGACGAAGCAGCAGCTGTCCCCGATGTCAGCGAACTTACTGGAGAAGTAGTTGAATCGTAGGCACTAGATTGAGACTTATCATTCACGAATGGAGTAGGGTTTGTGGTAGGCGTATTAGGTATTGGACTTATCAGCTTTTTTTCGCGTATAGGTGATAGGGTCAGCATATCATTGGTAGATTTTGTTGGTTGTATAATCGATGACACACCTAAATCAATGTCGTCATCAGTCAAACAAGGTAAACTGGGTGACGGTTTACAGATTGGCGAATGTGTGAGAATTGAATTTTCGCCACTCTCGTCCTTATCCATATGACCCTCTAAATTATGCATTTGCTTTGCATTGGCTGCCAATATATCAATGGAAAGTTTTGTTGGTGGTGACATAACGGAATGTTGTGATTGCAACGGAGCTATTTGTGGTGGCAGCTGCTGCTGGGGTTCTTGTGGCTGTGGATGGTGTTGGTTAGAACTCGCTGAAGCACTAGACTCGCGACGTTGATGATGATGCCTTTCTTCTTTCGAACGTTTCTTCTTTTTCTTCTTCTCCTTGTTCTTCATATGAACTGGCGTTGCAGCAGATGCGCTTGTGGCGACTCCCAATGGTTGGGTATGGATTGGAGCATTAGTTTCATGGACATCTGATTTGTCTCTACGCGGGATATTCGAGTCGAGAGAATTTTCATCACCATCAGAAAAGCGAAATACATCAGTCATATCACTGCGGTAAGTTGTAGCGGTAGAGGGTGTGGCATCTTCAGTTGGTTTGTTATCGGAATCTTCCATCAGTTGCGCTTCTAGAGCGCGACCAGCCTCGTCAAGATCAACACTATTTTCGTCATCAATGTGATGCTGTTTTCGCGGTTGCAACGCTGAGAGAGCATGTTGTTCACGCGACTTCTCACGCTCTTTACGTCGCCTTTCGCGTTTTTCTTTCCTGTGCCGTTCTCGATCAATAGGTGCCCCACCATCGCCGATAGGTACAGATGCCTTCTGCTTATTCTCTTCATTCTCTTCAACTGTGTGTGATTTTGGTGTAAGTGGATCCTGTTTGTAGGGGTTCAGTGCTGCTGAAACTACCGGTCCGGTTATGTTGCTCGACGATGTCAAAAGTCCACCATAATTTGTATCCACGGAAAAGTTCGATGACAATTCTTTACCCTCAGCATCGGTAAACTGGGACTCTTCATCCGATATTGGGCCAAAAATATCTTCCATCTTTTCACCACGCTTGGATGTTGTCGTTTGGAGGTTGGCTGCCTGTGTCATCGGTTGTGTGTGTGATGCAGCTGTTACAACAAGTGGAGTTGTTGGAATTGGTTGTGTAATAGCCACCGGTACTATCAAGCTAGACGCCGCTAAATTTGCTTTCACTGTACTGCCATCTGAACTTATGATTCGCGCAGTATCAAGGCTCTTCGACTTTTTCGACTTCTTCAAGCGGTGGCGCTCTTCTTTGGACAACTTATCTGAATCAATGCTGCCCCCTCCATCACTCATATTACGCACTTTTTCACGCTTTTTCTCCTTACGTTCCTTGTGACGTTTCTTCTCGCATACGGACAAGTCATTTGCGCCATTGTTTGCATGGGTAATTGTTGTGGACAGCGACGAACATTCACGCTTCAATTCATCAAATGGATCGTATGACGGTGACAGTAAAGGTTTTACTTTACTTTCCGGTGTGCTCATAAAATTCATCATCTGAAAAGAGCCTGGTGTAAGGGTAACCAAAACATTTTTCGCCTCCACAATGCTGTGTGTTGTTGGAGCATTTGGCATAGGAAGATTATTCTTCTGACGTTTCTTGCTTTTTTTGTGCTTCTTACGGGTCTCGGGGGAACATTGTTGCTGAACTTTCAAGGACGATTTCGTTGATAAATGCTCCAAGGCTAGTTCATAATCAGAATTCTCAATCACTGAATTGCCCGTAAAGTGTTTATACTCCTTTTTAATTTCGATAGACCCCGCGTTCGATTCGACTTCCGTTTTAATATAAGGTTCTTTTGGTTTAACATCATCGGATTCTGCCGCCGTTTCTGAAGGCAGAATTTCTGATTTTATCTCCATTTTGAATTTATTATCACAATCTTCCTCGTCAGTCAACTCCCGTTTGATTTTTATCTCTACAGCTGGTTGAGACTGAGATTCGGAATCGGAGGCTATGCGTGTTGAATGTGAATTTCTTTTGCTGGAGCTTCGTTTACTTGGCGAAGACGCCATTGATTTGCGTGCGTTTGCGTGTATTTCGTCCCCGGAACTGTCGTCACCATCATCATCGCACAGTCGCATTAATTTATGATGTATCTTGTTACGTCGTGCTTCTGCTTCAGCAGTTGTTGTTGAGTCCGAGTCAGAGAACATGCGGTGAGGATGTGAAGATGCTTGAGAGCTGCGACGGCGAGTTGCCATATTTGTAGTATCGTCGTCATCGGAGGAAGATGTAAGATTGTTTTGATTGCGTGATTTGTAAGAACTGCTTCCGCCACTTCGTTGATTGCGATCCTCGAAATCAGAATCTGAATCACCTTCATAGCTGGTTGAGCGTTTCTTTTCCTCTCGCTTAGCCCGTGACTGTTTCAATTGTGTGAACTTTGCTTTGATCTTCTTTTCCTCTTCGTGTTTTTGCATGTTCTTACAGGAACGAGCTTTTACCTTATCGTACATTGAAACATAGGGTCCCTCATCAGGTATATCGAAAATTGAATGTTTCTTCCCGCCATTTGTTGGATCGTCTGAATCGTCGGAGTCGTCCGAAGTCATGATCACTCTCCGTGAGGGAGTCGCTTTCACGTTATTACCCTGTCGATGTTGTACAGAATGTGACTGTGTCAAGGCAAGACCCTCATCTGAACAACGAGATGATTTTCGTTCCGAACTTCTTCGGCTCTCCTGTTTACATTTCTGTATAGGTATTGTCAATTCGCCGCTGTGTGAACCCGCAACCGATGTTCGTCGACTTGGGTTATGAGTCAGTTCCTCATCAGTCAAGTGATTACTAGTTGCCGATACTAAAGATTCAGTAGTTGATGGACGCTTTCTCTCACGATGTTCACGTTTGTTTTTATGACGCACGTGATGACCACTGTGATCGCGTTGCTTGTGTTGGCTACCACTTGCTACACATCTCGACTGCTGCAGAGATGTTCCCTCGTCACCGCTCGAATTAAGCGAATTCCTGCTTAGGTAATGAACTGTAGAACCCTCAATCTCTTGATCCGAAATGTTTTCATGATGATTCACTTTTTCTGTTGACGGAACTATCACTGTCGGCATGACCGTCGCAGATGTTGACGCTGTGGTTGCAGAAATATTATTGTCTTCGCATTCACCCTTGCTATTGTCTTTAGGGTTGCCTTGGTGTTGTTGTAGCTGATGCCTATGATGTTTGCTACTTCTATGCTTATTCGAATGTTCTTTGATCTTTAATTTTTCACCGGAGCATACAGCCGAATCCGAAGTTCCAATATTTCCCGTTGTAGTGTGACTTGATGTACGTTGATGTTGATGCTTATTGCTTGAGTGCTTGGTCGTATGTTCAGAGCCATGAGTCGTTTCTTTCTGATGCTGTCGGTCATTTGCTTTTCCTGCACAGGAGACAGTTAACGTGTGATGCGTTTCAATCCGTAAACGTTTGACTGGGTCCTCACTTACGGAAGTGTGACTACTTATATTGCCGTGATTACTATCTTGTGAGCTAAGACGACGTTTTGGTAGACGTATAGGAGAGTTATGTGACGATTTTCTTCCACGATGCTTACTTGCAGCTTCGACGGTTGCTGGACTCTTTGGTTCATCAATTGAATTTTCTTTGTTATTTTGAAAATCGGCGTCATCGCCCTCAGATTGATTTTTATTAAGCGTATGTGACCGGTTCTCATCTACCTTATCAGCCTTATCAGTTAATTCTGACTTTCTTCGCGTATGTTCACTATGAATCTCTCGATCTTCATGCTCGTCGTCGTTAAGATCGGCATCTTCTCTTCCTCGTTCGTGTCTTTCGGATAGCTCTTCATTCGCTTTATATTCACGTTCACGATCTTCCTTTTCCTTACGCTCATTTTCCAATATTTCGTCACGTTCTTTTCGCTCACATTCTTCACGATCAAGTTGCTCTCGTTCTTCAAGCTCTCGACGTTGACGATCTTCAGCCTCTTTGAATTCCCTTTCTTCGCACTCTTTGCGTTCTCGAGCTTCATGTTCTTCCTTTTGTTTGCGGATCTCTCTTTCACGCCTCTCACGTTCTTGACGCTCTCGTTCTTTATCACGACCTCTTTCGCGCTCTTTGTGTGACTTCTCTTTTTCTCTGTCCTTTTCAGGCTCCCTATCATCGCCTTCTAACCTTTGACCCTTTTCGCCAATATTACTGTCGTTTCCCTCATTTTCACTTGAATCTCCTTCAACTCTTGGTGTAGATGTCGAAGCCCCTGAATGCTGCGAGTTCGTTGAGTTTTTCCGTCTTTCCGATACGCGCTCACTTCGCCCTGAACGTTTCTCATTTTCATTGCGATAATTGTGTTTGTGAGATGTGCGCTCGTTCTTTTTCGAAATCGCAGTCAAACTATTCGATGGTTGCTTCGGAGCTTTGGACATTTCCTCGTCAGTTTTAGTAACGGCTGTTGATGAAGTACTCCGACTTATAGCATGAGACACCACTTCGTTACTAGCCGTGTGCGTATTCAAGGACTTAATTGTGCCAACATTTGTACTACCAGGAACTGAAACTGATTTAGTCAAAATTCGACTATCGGTTTTTCCAAAATTGTCATTATTAGGTGCTGCCCATGGTACACTCAAACTTTTAGTAATCGAATTTGTCTTCACTCTCGTGTTACTCACTCCCAAAGTGTTTGTATCCAAAGTCGCTATTTGGGATGGTTTTGGTTGTGGTGGGTCTGAAGGAGCGGGACCTGTAGGTGGAGCCGGCTGAGCTGCAGGCAGAGGAGCAGCCGTACTCGGTAAAGGTGGATGACTCGGAAATGGATATTGTAGCCCTTTCATTGCAGCTGCTAAACTGCTAGCGGAAGCAACTGTTGAAATACTGCTGGCACTTGTTGTACTTAAAATAGTACTAATGCAGCTTGTCGCAGTCGTTGTTCCGACTTTGGTCGGGCACGATGATACAGTTGTCGTCATACTACTGCTCACCGATGGGGATGGAGATGGGCTGTTATATGGGGATATCGATGCCTGTGGAGAATTCATAGGCGAAAGACTGCTTAGCCGCTGCAACAAGACACCTGAAGATTTGTTTAACGCTGTATTTCCACTGTTTGTAGAGCTGCATCCAACCACGGGCGTCTTCGTGGCTGCCAAGTTAGGCAGGCCCGGCGAGGTGCAAACCCCAATTATGTGTTTCGCCAGTTGTGTGGCGTCTGAAGACGGCTCGTACCACTGGTTCTTCTTCAATCGTTGCAGGTCGTCATCGAATATTGATTTCTTTGCTAACACTGATTTAACAATCTCAGAAGGCTTGAGATCACAGACGTCGATATCAGGAAACTTATATCGCGATGAAGTACTGCCACCACTATGATGTTCGCTACTACGATGCGCATGCCGAAATGCAGTTGAGCCGCCTTGACTAACAAAATCATGACGTTTCACTGCATTCGCAGTAGCATTAGGACCATTACCACCGCCATTACCACTATTTCCTCCGCCACCAGACCACCGTTCATACATCTCATCCAACGTTCTTATGCGCTCCTCCAATGAAGGACTACCACTTACTTGTCCTGGGGCATCGGAATCACTGGAATTCGAGCTGAGGGAACGTGGTCGCAAAGGACTGACCATCGATGCTCCAGCCGCACCAGTTGATGTTTGATTATAGTGCGTATGCGCGGGATGACTGTGACCATGGCTATGCTGCGGATGATGATGATGTTGATGCGGACGCCAGTGTGATGAATATCGATTAGATGGACTATGTAAGGGATATCCCGGCACAGTAGAGGAACCTGATGACGCTGTTGAAGTCGTCGTTGTTGGCAGAGCACTATGACTAGAATGACTACTACTGTTTACATTTGTGTTGGACAAAATGTGCGTGCTGATATTGTTGCTGCACCCTGCCATAGATGAAGAGGAAAGCATTCCGCCACTACCATGATGATAGCCACCTACATTGATACTCGTGTGACTTGTAGCGTTCGAAATAGCTTGTCCTGCCAGACTATTGCGATGCTGATGAAAAAACGGTATACCGAATTTCGGAAGTGGCAATATCAGTGGCTCATGCCGACATTCACGGGGCGGCCGCCGTGGATCGCTAGGCAATACTTCGGGGCGTTCATCACAAAGTGGAGTGCCTGGACGTGAGCCTTCTGCACTCTCTCCGCCACTGGCATCGTGTGAGTGATGGGAATGTAAAGGATGGCCACGACTTCGTGAACTGTGTTGCTGATAGTCGTCACTTACTGTGCCACCGCCACTACCACCACCACCACCATTTCCACAGCCAATGCTATTGGTTACACCACTTAACAGATTTGAGGCAGATGAAGTAAGCGTACTACTATTTCCATTACTATTACCACTAGTGACTCGTCTCCGTTTGCAAGCAATTGCGGTAGAAAGTGATGCTTGATGGTGGTGATCACTTCCAGAGCCAGTACTACTCACGCTTCCATGTCGTGTAGAAATGGATCCTATGCCAACAGCTCCCAGTGTTGCCGTTATATCAATGGACGGTCGGCGAACCAGTTGCTGCTGATATGGCTGCATTGATTGTGAATGTGTGTGATACTGATGTTGATGGTACTTGAGGCTGGTCTGATTATTAGAATCTGAAAGGCGGCGCACTTCACTCTTTCGTTGACCTACGGCTGCCGTGACATCATATTCAGTGGCATCACAGTTGGAACTTAGGTTACATTTATGTTGAGCACCAGCGATGTTTCCTGTCTCCGACAGATGCGACTGAGACTGTAATGAATAAATATTCACAATTAAAGACATGGTAATCAAAAAATTGGTTAATAATGTAGTAAACGAAAAATAAGAAAAATCAATAAGTTTAATGATGCTGTAACATACCATTCCACTGCTGGTGGTCATGGAATGATGATGATCGATTTTAATGCGCTTTCGCGGACTCACTATACTTTCATCACCACTGGACGGGCATTCCTCAAGTTGCTCTAAAAGATGGGAACGTTCTTTTTGTAGAATTCTTATATCACCTGCAAGCAAAATATGAAGATCGATGAAGTTGTAGTTGTAGATCGCGTGAGAGTGATTTTGATTGACTTTGTTACCTTTTTGTTTCGCAGGACTTTTATCACAACGACGGCGACCACTGCCGCTATTCACCGTCACTTCAAGCGTTTCATTTACCCTATCATTCGTATTTGCTGCCGTGTGAGCTCCGATACCGCTTACGATGGGTCCCAATCGTGAGAGTAGCGGTGAGTCGGACCGCAAACCACCGCCAACACCTGCCGAATGCCCACTTTGTGGGGCGACATCCTCATCATGAGAGGCACCCGAACCCTGACTATATTCGTCATAGGAACGAAATCGACGCATGTCCAGGTAGTCGTAGTCAACGGTATGTCGTGAACTGCGAGATCCACGACTGCGGGCTGGCGTCGAATTGCCCGACATGGATATGCTCTGCGTCACCAACGGACTATTTGACGTCGTGGAATTATTTCCAACATTAACACCGGCGACAATAGATGCTGCTGGCACAGTCCCGGCAGAGTTTGCTGTTATGCTAGAACCACTGCAACTGCTGCTACTTCCAGGCGTATTACTGGGTGAACATCCATCGTTCGAGTTTTGATGTCGGCTAAACGACGATGCGCGTGAACGCGATTGCGAGTCGTATCTGTTTAATCGATTCCCTGAAAAAAATAAAAACAAATACATTAAAAAAATAGAGGTGAAATTATAAGTAATAGTCGGATTATAAACAAATGTTCGATGAAATTTTTGTGGTTTGATTCATTCATACTATTTTGGCTATATTGTTTACAGCTGCACCAATAAGGCACTCATAACTGTCGATATATAAAAATTTTGAGCAAACTGCGTCCAAACAAAATAAAACAAAAAAACCCCCAAATCTAGTCAATTGAAAAAAGAATTTGTGTACATTTGTGACTTATAGAAATACTAATTAGATTGAGCCACGCCCACTTGTCAATGTGTATAAAACCAATTGAGCCCACGGTTTCGAAGTGATGGTTTATGGTATTTTTTCACTCCTTTGTTCTCGAACAAATTTAGTTAATGTCGTGTCGATAATTAAAAAAAATAGGTGAAAGATATTCAGACAATCATAAGACCTTCCATTCGAAATAAAACATTGTATTTAAAAACATTTCATGTATGCACATTTACATTTGTAAATATATATTTTAGTGTAGGTTTCCAAAATATTTAGATAAAATGTTCGAATGGATGAGAAACTCTACTTTTATGTCGTTTCGCACCTGCATTCTGCTTATCCAGCTTATCATAGAAAGCATCCTGACATTCGCGTGAAGCAAAATCCACTTGCAATCGTCGGCCGCGTAATGTTGCACCCCGCATCTCTTTTACAGCAGTCTGGGCGTATTGTATTTGGTCGTATAAAACCAGAGATAAATGACGTAATCGGTCCACAATCACTTTCGTAACGGTGCCATAACGGGAGAAATGGGACTGAAGTAACGACTCGGAGATCTTCTCCGTTACTCCATCTATCCATACACAATTCGTAGGCATCGACTTTCCAAATCCCAATTTAATACGATTGCTTCCCAGATGCTCGCCATCCATTTTACGCATTGCCTTAACCACAGATATTATATCCGAATATTGACAGAAGGCGTATGCTTGGGTACCTTGCTTTTTAATGTCGACTTCGATGATTTCTCCGAAACAATCAAAATGACTCCGTAACTCACTGGCGGTTATCTCTTTTTCTAAATTGCCAATGAAGAGGGTACGCGTCGATTTCGGATGATATTCATCTAATTCGGCTTCGTATGGTCGGAATTCGTTATCTTCGACATCATAACCTTGATAAGGTTCTACTTCAATTTTACAACCAAAGAAAAGCTTATCTTGTGAAACTTCTAGTGCTTTTTCCACGTCATCCGGTTTTTTGAAGCATACCAATGCATAGCGCTCCGAATTTTGGCCAACCACCTTTACCCAGGTGACTTTGCCATGCTTTTTGTACTCATGGAAAAGACCATCCTTTAAGGATGTGTCTGAGGAACGTGCGGGTAAATTGCGTACACATATAGCGAGCGGACGATTGTCTTCGGAATGAACAATGGGATTGACTGTGTTGCAGGATGAACTATTGCCACTGCTACTACTGCTGTTGCTTGAGTTACTGCTGGCAGTGCCACTGCCCGCCATTCCACTAGTACCTGTTCAAAAAAACGAGACCAACACAATCATAATTATTTATTAACATATTATACATGTATAGTGCTAAATAGACAAGCTATAATTTTGGTAAATACATATGTATGTATGTATCACAACACTCCATCGCAACACTTGCCCATCAAAACATAATCCCTTCAATTTTTACACTTTACACATATCAAAAGTAGGCGTGGTCAGTCACTTCTAAAATGGAGGATAGAAGAAAGCTCATTTCTAAGGCTCTGATGTTTCTAGTCTAACCATTCCTAATGTTTTATTTATAATGCATAAGTATGTTTGTAGTTTCATTTCCGTCTTTATGTCACGTATGTATGTATGTATGTGTTTAAATAGCACATTATAAAAGGTATCACTGCCGAATATCAAAATTTAGAAGAAACAGTTTTTCATTGTCATTTTTTTTTTTACAAGTTTACCAAATATATGTTTAAAATGGGGGTTATATTCACATTTACAATAAATACATCTCAAATAACATTTTTATTCATAGAAGACTCTAAATAGAGTGTCGATGAATGAATGTAATATATTTATTTATTACGGCAGTCCATACCTTGAGGAGGGGTTGTAACTGCTGATTGTAAATTTCGCGATTTGCTCGTCAGTCCGCCAGAAGATCTGCACGGAGTAGATTCACTGCCTCTAACTGGACTTGATGCGTGTGAATGGGATGAAGTGTTTGATGAGGAGGAGCTATGTGACGAGCTGTAGCTACTGGGTGAACGGGAGTGCGACCGGCTTGAAGATGTCGTGCTCCGACCATGTAAACGATGCGTTCGCGCTGTATGCTGTTGAAGCGCGCTTTGTGTAGACGAGAGGGGAGAGGTGGTGCAGCTGCTCGTAGCAACTAACTCTGGAGCTGTGGAAGAGGTGGTGTTATTATTGATGCCAATTCTATTTCTAAGAAGCTGAATTTCAGCGTCTGCAGCCGCTTCAATAAAAGATGTTGCTACATTTAAAACGCCACTATTATTGTTACCATTTGTGTGACTTCCAACAGTTGACTGCGAAGATAACGTGGTGGTAATGCCTGTCGCATTCGTTGACGGTATTATATTACTGCTACTGCTTAAACTACTGCTATAACTACTACTGATTGTACTACAACCGCCACTGCCACTATTATTTGTAAACGAGGATGTTGTCGAAGTTGCTGTTGGTGCACCCATGCCCATTCCCGACATATCCGTCGTCATAGTCGATGTTGTAAGTGAATTTTTAGACGACTCTAAGCCTATTTCGGATGATTTAGCAATTTTATTCAAATTCGAATTATTTTTCATCCAATACGCACTAGACGCTGAAGTTGTTGCTGTATGCGACGTTGTTGGACTTATGTCCGTCACAGTACCGTAATAATTGTTCCGCTGGTGTGACGTTAACGTGCGTGCAATTGCCGTTGTGATGGAGGAGGCAGGTGTGGTGATTGAATTTGAGGTGGAATAAAAGTTGTGGATGCAGTTGCTGCCTACTGTTGAGGCGACGGCATTGCCACTGCCACCAGGACTGTTCGTGTTCGTCGCAGCAGCGTCGTACCATGACGACGGCAGTGCACGGTTATAATTGTTGATGGTGGCACCGTTCGAACTTCTGCAACGTAAATTTTATTATATTTTTCCTACAACGCCAATATCTAAAAATGTTACAGTTCTTGTTTATTTTTCTACTTGCCTCTCGTTTAACTGTGCAGATAAATAAGGTCCATTTTTGTACAAACGATCACGTGTTCTATTACGATTATCTAAGGTGCCACTGGCACTAATACCGGGACCACCAGAAGTTACAGTGCCTACAGAGGATATATCCTGTATAGACGCCGTTGGACTTGACGTTGCCAAGCTGTTTGACGTTTGATAACCACCGTTGCTTCCAATAGAAGGGCGGTTTGAACGACGCAAATAGGTGTCGTTTTCTGCAGCTATTCGGGAACTGCGTTCATATAAGCCACTGTTCCGTTCTGTGAAATTTGGAGTTGGAACGTCTTCAGTAGACCTAGAATATTACAAAAGGAGAAAACCGCTTGTAATTTAGTACCTCATCATTTGTTGGCAATAGCAATTACAACATAAATAATTCTTAAACCAACAACAAACAATTCATATAGTATTTATTATAAACGGTGACTACTGTACCACTATATCCTATATTATTGATCCTATTACCTTTGTTTCTTCTTCATCATCTATGTTGAATTGCAAAGAGGTTCAGAGAGGCCGGCCATTCAGTGATTAAATATTATTGTGTATTTTTCCAATAATTATCAAGTAATTAATATTAGTTTATGCATTTAAACTGGATATGGTCTATTCCGTTACGAGAAAAAACAATACAATAACAATAGTTAGCGAAATTATTCTAAACACCATACAACTGGGGATTCTCTTTTCACACAAAATGTCAAAATCATTATTATTTATTCATAAATACTCAATATATAAATCTCACAAAAATTTGCAAAAAAAAAATGTTCTCCCTAATTACGAATATAAATATGTAAATAAGTACAAAAGATTTATGTTCGAAAACCAGTGTAGCCAAATTTTCAATCTCAAAACATTGCATCGAACTAAAGGCCAACCTTTTCTTTTCGTCAAAAGAATCCCACTCAAAGAAGCGTTTTAATTTAGCAAAAATAAAACACAAACATAAAATTTCGTTTAAATTACTCTCAGTGATTTATTAGTGATTAATACAACAAATACTTACAACATAATACTTTCACGCAAGATAATGCATTTATTGAAGGAAGTCGCAAATGATTACGAACTTATGTAGCTTTTAAAAGTATTTTTTGTTAACAATTTGAATTTTTATTAGTGAAGTAAAGCCAAATATTTAATGAATTTTTCTCAATCCATGGTGAATGTTGTGAGCCGGAGTATTAAGCACACTAAAATGAATACAACTCTTAAAGTAATACACCATGAAGTCAGAAGTATATTGCTCTATAAGCTATATCTTCGAATTGATTTCAACAGTTTAACTTTTCGATATTCCAAAACAGTGTTGTCATTATTTATTAGTAAGTAAGTATATTTTGTATCGTCTGATAAGTTAAGAAAATTGTTACAGACAATAAAATAAATTTAAAAAATAAACTAAAAATTTGTAATGTAGTAAACTGTGTGTAATTTCTTTTAGAAATATGTCCGTCCATTACCATTAGAAGTGCAAAAATATGCAAAAACAAGTTAGGATGCGCTAAGTTCGCGTGTAACCGAACATTTTATGCTCTTGCAACTTGCAAGGAACAAAGGCGGAGGAACACCTTCAGGTTTTGGCAAAACTTAATATCAAAGTAAGGAAAGTATCGCCGTGATTTCTTTCATTCAAGGAAAGAGGATACACTAGAAAAGTATTAGATGAGGTACGTAGTGAACCGAGTTTCGAAAATATTTATGTTAGGTATATGAGGGCTAGGGGAAGTGTTGACTTACTTTTACCCAGTTCCTTTGAGGGCACTATTTGAGCAAAGTTTTATTCTGATAACTTTATTGATGTTTGATTTGTATACTGCAAAGTGAAAAGAACAAACGGTATTTAAAAGTTTGTTATGTGGAAATTAGACGTGGTTGTATCCGATTTCCCGATCGCATTTTTGCTGTGTCAATTAGGCAGGTTTTCGGTAACCTCACACACCATTTGGTTGAAATCGGTCAAGTAGTTCCTGAGATATAGGATTTCACCTAAGGGTGTTCGGTGCCACGCTCCTTGTCCAATTTGCACACCAGATCCTAAAAAGCCCTTCTCTACCACCCTGGTTGTGAAATTTTATGTTTGTGGCTCATTTATTCAGTGAGTTATAGTATTGTACTTTTAGTAGTTTTCAACAGATCCGTTATATCAGGAGTGTGCGTTGTTATTGTCCAATTTTACCCATTAGACCATGCAAGTTAGATTGATGTGTGGGTGGTAGGTAGGTGGGTGTGGCGATGGTCCGATTCCGCCCATTTGCAATTCGAACCTCCCTTGGGTACTAAGAAACATGTGTACCAAGTTTCATCAAGATATCTCAATTTTTACTCAAGTTATCGCTTGCACGGACACGCGACAGACAGACACCCGGATTTCAACTCGTCTCTTCATCCTTATCATTTATATATACATAGATAACCCTATATCTAACTCTAGATTAGTTTTAGGTGATACAAACAACCCTGTAGCAACATGTTGCAAGAGTATAAAAACTATTTCGATTATGGTGCAGAACTATTGGTTTTATAATGATCGATTAGTAAATCGTTCTACTATATAATTAGTAAGACTACTGTTTTTCTGTCTAGATGGATTTCAGCAGGAATTCACTGCAGTGAACTCGTCATTGAACTGAGTACATGTGTGCATGTATCAGGTCCATATTTTCATATACTCCCTTGCCATATTATAGTTATAAAGACTGTAAGCTCTTACGCTTATTATATTATCACGAATAAAATTATACATACATATATATATTCACATATATAATATATGTTTTTACATACATATTTGTGTATATGTGTGCATACATACTTGTATGTATGTAAGCACATGTGCAATGATCCTTGCTCTGCCCTGCTAAGGGCATATCAGCATCAGACTTCCTTTTAGTTTTATGGGTTTCAACGATTGTTATTATTTTAAACTTTCGACCTCAATTAAGCTCATCTGTGTTATCTAATGGCAACCGCCTTCTGTCAAATTAAATGTAGTCTCCGTCGATTTCTTTACTAGTTATTTCGCTTTGCTTTTGATGAGGTATCAAATGAGAATGGTCGCGATCTCTCACGGTATATACTATGTCAGATATAAATATGTAACGTATACTATGTTATAAAAGGGAGGTCGTCTTCAAATAGAATCTAAAGCTCAATATTTGTAATATCGCAAATTGCAAGAGCAGAAAATGTTCATTCATATTCGCAATCCCTTGAAGCTTGGAGCATCAAAGTTTATATAACAATGTACATATGTGAATAAAAGACACTATGTAAGAATTTATCATCGTTGGCATAACAATGAACATTATAAGCAAGTATATACATATATATGTAAGTAAATAGACGGGTATGTAAAAAACTTATACTCAAAGAGAGTCCCAACATAGTGGGAACAGCCCCCTATTTACCGATGAGAAGAGAGACTCAGTTTATGCGCATGATTCTATTCTACATTCACGTTGGTGTGAAGCTGCGTATTTGCAGTTATAGTTAAGTTTGTGCACATTCGTATTTGCAGCATAAGTAGATCCCTTCCCCAGTGTTGATGGTTGAACCCGTGAAAATATAAATGTTAACTGATTTATATACGTTTTCCTTATGTTATAGTAATATGTAATGTGTTCTTATTTAAATACAAACATATACCAGATACCAGACAAATACATATGCATAGCGTCAGTGATTCTCGTTGCTTTAACACCAATATAACATCAGATGAAATACTTTTTTCAATAATCCTGACGCAGCGATTAAATAGAAATGAGTTGGTGAAAAAGAAAATGAAAACGTTCTCTTCATAGGAGGCATTTTTAGACAAATGAACTTTAAATATAATTATGAATACGCCACAGTTGCAACCGCCCATCGGTAGCTGTCACAACAGTCGCCAAAATAAACAAACGAATTTTACACATATTTATGTTCAGTGCTTAGAGCAAAGATATTCTTTGGCTCCCCATGTCAATACCAATCGAGTCATATCTAGAAAATCACCTAAAAATTTACTATTTAAGATTTTTACCGCAGTGCGTCAAACTGAAGGTCTATGATGATAAAATTGATACGACTGGCATATGTATCGAAAACCATCGAGATGCAGCGAGATAAGGCTAATGCTGGAAAAGTAGTGCAAAATTCTGCCGACAGAATGGTCAGCATAAGACGCTTTCGCAGCTTTCGAACTAATAAAACTATAATATTGTTATTATATTGACAATTTCACTAATTTTCCGTTGTTTAAACCTCCATAAAGCACTTTTTACATATATTGAATGACGTGCAAGTGTCACAGAGTAATATTAAATTTTATTAACACAACATTTACCGGAAAATTGACAAAATTAGTGTTACATTTTTAATTGTAGGCATTAATTTAGAAAATCGCCACTTAAGCGCTAGTAGCCAATGCAAATCATCCAATCGAACAAATCAACGTCTTAAAGCGTTATTGTACGAGTATTTTATATAAATTATTATTTTTAACTAATTTTTATCGCATATTGCAAACTCTTTGTACAAATGGCTCTTAGTGGATGGCGCGTTAGAACACAACGTTTGGACTCTTTTTAGAAGTCTGTCATTTCGAAACAGAATTTTTTTTAAATTTACTGGCAATGATATGTACACACATAATGTATGTCACATAATGAGGCAAACGTGTTTAAAATTTTTAATTCACAATTATACTTCTTTTGGCGATATTACGCGATGCTGTGAGAAATGTACAGCTATTTACATTCAGGCCACAATGGAATAGCCGCAAACTTACATTATGTACATTGCAACTTACACAATTTTTCAATACAATAACGTGTCATCTCGTCAGCAAGACGCGCAAAACAACAAATGTAGCTCAGAATATTAATGAGGCGTATGTATGCAATTTCATATTAGATAAAACACACATGTAATTTAAGTTTATGTAATGAGCAGCGCTTCGGTGGGAAAATTATGAATAATTCAACCATTTTTGCCACAAATGAAACTGAAATGCTGCAACACCTTTTACATTACCTGTGGGAACTTCGCATAAACAGCAATAAACATATACTCGTATGTACATACAAAGACAAAAAACATATACCGATTTTTACAATTTATATATGGTTATTAACACGAGTCAGTAATAGCTCAGATAAACCTCATGACTTTTGTAGTTTTTTATCCTGTAATATTTACTGTGCAGTATCCCTGTTACGAATACTCAAAGCTTTAAAAATATCACTGCTTAAGAAAATAAAAATTTTTTTGTTTCCTTGGATGGCTTACTACAATTTGATCTTATATTTTAATCAATTAATTATCCGCTTGTTGGTAATAAAATTAATTTTTCCTGTCATAATTAGGGTTCTATGCACCTTTTTCTATCTTACAAACATCAACAACTCTCAAGCTCCTTACCGAAATATATGCGAAAAATTATGCGTCTAGATTTACAGTATACAAAACGTCTTGTTTTACTTAATGAAAATCTTCCTTTGCGTTTCAAAAGTGATTTGCAAGTCCTCTCAGAAACAATAATGTCGCCAAATTTACAGAAATCGGTACTGTCAACCAATGGAAGTATATGAGAGGGTGAAACATCTATGCCAAGGTAATACATAATTAAATTAGGAATGATAAATCAATTTGTCAAAGCGTGAGCGGATATTGTTTTAATTACATTTGAGGAAAATTTACTAGGCAACTATAAAACACCAAATTATGAAGAAACTGTGTAAAATATCCTGACAAACTTTAAGATTTCAGAAGCAAACCAAGTTAGACTATCCGCAAAATAATCACCTCGAAAGAATTCCGGATAACTTAGGAAATTATAGTGAGCAGCAGGCAGAGCAGTTCTACCGAGATCTAAAATCGGTAAAAGAAAGTTATCAAGTTTGATAAGATTGTCACTTCATAACAGATTAAAAAGACCTATATACATACATCATAACAACTGCAATAAAACTTACATCTCAAAACTTGAGAGGGGGAACTTTGTTGTTCTCGAAAAATGTGAACTGATTTTTTATTGGGTTATCTCAAGTTCTTTGTGTCAAGCGCCGGCGATCTCAATGAAGATATCACCTTCCCCGAATTTATTATTAATTAAATCTGTTGAAATATTAAAGACAATTTTTCGTTATCTTTATTTCGTAATTTGTTATTTAAAAACAGTAAAAATGCTAGTTCTATTTAATTAATATTATCTGGAGCATTGTAGCTCTCGCAACCTATATATTACCATATCTGCTAGAACTGCTTTGCCTATAAAATCAGTATGATGCTAAAAAATATCCTTCAAATTGGAATTCTTCGCAACTTAATGCCTGTTTAGCCTTGAAACCGTCTTAATAAAGCAAAACTAAAATAACTAGCATACTATGGACAGATTCTTTAAAGCCGAAAAATCATTAACCCGCAAAACTAACCCGCGATATGGAAAAGAGGGTGGAATGAATACATGCCAGTCCACGGAACGAAGGACATTTTAGTTATGTTTTGGATCATAAATAATTGCAACCAATATATTTTCAGACAAAATGAAAATCGTCTTGAACTTTCAAAATAGTTGTAATTTTATTTAAAAACAAGTATTGAGCTTCAGTTTTTTAACGCCAAGCATCAGTTATATACATACATACATACATACATACATATAAGTATGTTAGTATTGACCTACTGT